CAACCGAGGGAGGGACACGGTGTATACATGGAAGGGAAAGGAGAAGTGTAAGCAAATCTGCACACAGCTCCTGAGATAGAGGCAATTTAACTTATTTATAATCAAAGTTACAAATCCTGAGAGTGTAGTTTGAACTGTTTAAGTGTAATTAATTTTAAATTTATATGTAACCTAAAAGATAAAAGAAAAAAATAATAAAAAAGAAACGATAAAATGAAGATTTACAAATCCATGATACATGTATGTTACTATTTCGTGTAACAATTTGAAGCTTTCCAACCAATTTGCGTTACGTGGAAAATAGCGTAAATAAATTCGCATTTCAGTGCATACAATATTGTTTTTACTATTTGAAATGTATTGAATTTTTGCGCACGGCCAGATGATGTGTTTGGGCCGAACAGTTATTAACGAGTGCGCGGTAACACTTTATTTTAGCTCTCAAATGCAGCCGCTGCATGTGAACGTGTCCGTGAAAATATTTCAAAACCAACAATGCTATAACGAATATAAGCGGATTACGGATTATATTTGGAATTGTTTGTTTTAATTGACGAGATATATTTATCAACAATGTAATCGACTTTTGCAAACATTACGTTAACTTTACGATCTCCGCAGTGAATATTTACCGTGTTCCCAGTTTTGTTTTTTAATGCTTTAATCGCTTATTTGTATCTCTTCCTTGTAACGCTCGTCTATTCCGGTAAAAATGTACTTAAAATCTCTATGGTATCTAGATCAGTACAAGCACTAACATTGAGTGGCATTAAGCTCTGCACAATTTCTAGCCGAGTGCGTCTAGACCGCGAAGTGTTTACGTTCAGAAATACCCGTTGTCGGTGCGGTTGTGCACAGGTGTACGCCGTCATAGAGTTACTGTTCTCTTTAATCTTGTAACAGCGATGACCTCTAGTTTTGACTGCTCCAGAATGCTAATGTTTATGTTTTGCGGTTCTTTTTAACACTTAAATATTTTTTGTTCAATATCATGTATTGAATTCCGCCCGCCCTCGCCGCCTTTCCAATTATGTCGAAGGATAGAGGCCACTATTGTGCTAAAAGAAAATCAGTAAGATCGTTGTTAAAGTGGCTTTAAACTAAATTTGTTTATTAAATCAAGTATACCTTTATCAATGGCACAACCTTCACTTTGTGGTTTAGTCTATTATATCACACTAGGCAATTGCTGATGTCCTCGCCCGCGTGAATTTAAAAATTATTAAAATTGTAGCCTTCGTTACTCACAGATGACGTAGTTTTTTAATAGTGAAAGATTTTTTGAAATCGGCCAGCTCTTTTTGAGTTATTTCAATTGAGTTATACATGAATACAAATCTTTCCTCTTTATAATATTAGTGTAGATTTTAATATGTTGCTACCAACACAGCAGTTTTACTTCATATTTCACTAGTCTTGATTCGTTAATTCTGTTTTGTTTCATGAATCATAACAACGAAGGTTAATGATAAATTTAACCGTGATTTTCATCAGACTAACGTAAAACAATCGTATCGTATGTAACGTCAAGTGAACATATACTAAATTTAAACATGCAGTCAAACGAATCACTGCTTATACGAGTAAATAAAAAAAAAAGCAGAAACTTTATTTAAAAATTAGGTTAGACGCACTCAATATTCAATTTTCATTAATTTATAAATTAAATAAGATGAGTCATATTATATTTACAAATTACATATTCAAAAGTACAATAATATTTTACGTATACTAGGAAGAACGAGCATACAATTTATCGAAAAAATATAATTTATCATTCGATGTCAAATGAAAGGAAAAACATGTATTTACGTAAACAAGCTTCATAAATATCTCGGCTATGTTTCAGCCGCCCAAGTTGACGATATCGTCATATTCACGTTACCGCACACGGCTACTGACATAAAATTCACAGTCATCCGGTTACTGATTATACGTAACTGACAAGGCCTACGCACTATTTATTTGGTCCGTAGTTATTGATAGTTCGACATCGGATATTTATGTTCTACGTGTAACGTTGAAAATAGAAATGGATGAAAATGTATATAGGTTAGGTTGCTTTTTTATTATCGAAACGTCACTTTCAGTTGTTTAATTGTTACTGAAATACTCGCTTAGGGCTTTCCTTAGCCACATACTATTAGCGGTTAAAGTCTACTAAATAATATTCATAATAAACATTACTTTATACGTAATTACGTACATGAGATTTCAAATGTTTTTCTATGACTTAATTTTGGTTTGAAATTACCATTTGTATTTCATGATGTTAGTAGAAATGTGTGGTGCAATCTATTTTTACTATAAAACATTACATTTACGATAGTTTTGACTCGTTTAATTTTATATTCATAGATCAACGTATCTACACCAGTTCGTGACTGCATTATGACGTGTCAGGTGACTCGTTACACGCAGAATGCAACGAGACCACCGTAACTGGGTTTATGGCCCAGTTATTTAAAGTTTTATAACACGATAAAATAACGCCCGTGTTTGTTTTATGATAAGACAGCCAAGCTAACTGATGTACAGCATTGGGCAACAGTTTTTAATTTAATTACTAGCTGTTGCCCGTGACTTTGTCCACGCAATATTAGGATAAAAAATAGCCTATAATATGCCTGTCTATGTCAACTACCCTTCAGTGAAAGTCCGATCGAAATCTGTCCAGCTGTTTCGGAGATTACCCGGAACAAAGGCGGCTCTCGGACAGACAGAGAGGCAAAAAAACATGCGATTTTCGTTATTAGAAATGTATCATCTTTCGGAATTTTTTTTTTTTTTTTTTTTTTTTTTTTTTTTTTTTTTTTTTTTTTTTTTTTAAGATTTAAAAGATTTATTTATAAAGTTACAAAATTTCTTTTAATACATTTGTGGTCGATCGCCTGGTTCCTACACTAGGCTCTAGGCCCGTCTTGTAGGAGCCAGGGTTCTTCCGTCTTAGTGCTAGTTTTTTTTTTTTTTAGAACACTAATATAAATCTAAGCAAGTTTACAATAAAAAGGTTGTTAGTGAATTCAAATATTACTTACACGGCATTCTTTACAGCTTAATTTTCCGTTGGAAATTGTATCTAACCAATGATATAAATTCACCATTTAAATAAATCCATTGTTACACCAAGAGAAAAATAAGATATAACAATTCTGTCTGAACTATTATAAATTAAATCTGTATCTAAAATTATGTCATTCCGTAAAACGTCAAAAATTATTTAAAACAAGCTTTTTAACACATAACATGTTGTAATTATTATGGCTACGAAGCAATAACGTATTGTCAATATTTAACAGGCGCCAGAAAACTAAACTCTAGAACAATAAAGCATTGTTGAAAGAGAAAAATTTATGGTCCACGTTCGGATGTTAGGACTGGAGCAATGTTTAACGGCAATATTTTGTCTAGACATCGCAATGTTTTAGATACGCGATTTCTTATTTTTAGCTGGAAGTAAATCATCAGTTTTGAAATAGTGATGTAACATAAAGCCTCATAGTAATAAATATTCTTATTTTCCTGTTTTTATTTAATTACGCGCTCTACACACTGTCAGTTTTAACTGCACAGTTTTACCTAAGCGGTGAATTGTACAACAATTGTAGACAAAATTGAAAATTGTGCAGTTTAAATGACATTTAATTTTTTTCTTTACACGTAAATTTTATTCGTACAGTCCGACTGTTCAGTTAAAACTCAAGGTGTATAGCGGGCTCTTTAGCTATACAATTAAGTGTCAATTAGTCATTTATAATTTAGTAATAAGTTAATTAAGAACAATTGGAGTTTATAACATAGTATGTCTGTATATTGAACTTACAACAACAAACTAAAGATAAATGGTAAACATTATTAACAGTCACACAACAATAATTTCTTAAATTATCAATAAATAACTTCAAGGATTACTACAACAACGTATTATTATCATAAACAACCACTTCAGGCCATTCATCGTCACATAGCTGCATTATAAACAACAATCTATACACCTAGAGATTGGAACAGTGACGTCATCAACCCAGCGTTCATTACCAATTGTCCTTAACGCTTATGGTAACATTTGCAGTTTCCAAGGAACAGTATAATACCACTCAAACTTTATTACGGCTCGAATCTGCGCATGACCCACTATAATGCACGCGCTTAGCTCAACCAGAAGTGGGCCCCATTCGCAACGAGCCCCCATAATCTTTGAAGCTCTATATACCCGTCCATTCTCATCTAGCCTCGACACTGAGAATTCAATCTTATAGTTCTCGGAACAGACCGGCTGTTATAATGAACTTTATTTTAGGTCGAGTAAAATTATTTTTCATTTTTATTAGGACACACGTGAACATTAATTTCAACTGTTGTTGGTTGTTGTAAGAGTTTGTAATTAAGTATTTAAATTATAATGTCGAAAAAAAAATTTTGCTTATTACGAAACCTCTGTGAAATAAAAAAATATACAAATTAAAACTCCTGATACACTATTTCAAGGACAGTTATTATCAGAATTAATAAAAAAGCAATTTACTCTTGAAATGTCATATATCCGGCACAAAAATAAATTTTACTCATTATGAAGTCATAATGCGTAAAATATATTTTTACAATCTGACCGAATAACTTCTAAATTACTCATAGTTGTATTTAAATCAGCGGTAAATAAATAAAAATATCAAAAATGTGGGTCGCGATGTCACTCCATCGGTCACCGAGATCAAACATTTTGACGCACCAAGGCTCGCACATCACTCGCTATCAGAAAAACAACATTTTTTAAATCACAACTGAGTTATTTATAAGGTAATCTGTTAGATTATCGTTCTAGGCAGTTTTAAGATAATATGACATCAGAAAAGTCTTCGGAACAACTGATAATATTCGTTTTTTTAAGTACCCACAAACTTAAAAGAGTAACAGAAATCAGTATTCGAGTAACTATTTACAAATGTATGATGTGAAATGAAATAACAAAGTTTAAAATAAACTAATAATTTTTTCTTCAGGACCGTGAGAGCAACCTGTCGGTGCCAGCCCGCTGGGAGGACAGGAATCTCCGCACCTATCTCAACAAACATGACGTTGGTTAGTATAAGATTTTTTTAACCATAAACTTTGCCATCTCCAGTTAGCGTTAGCGCTACTAGCGCCATCTACCTCGGCCTTCTTATTAATATTATCAATGCGAAAGATAAGATGGATGTTTGTTAAATTTTGTATCCTAAACTGCAGAACGGATCTCGATGAAATTTTACATAAATGTAGACGATAGTCTGGAAGAACACATAGGCTACTTTTGTTTTTTTTTATTTCCGCGCGGACGGAGTCGCGGATGTAAGCTAGTAAAGTTATAATTTTATAACATCTTGTCATTTCAATGTGTATATTGATGTAATACTTATCAGAGAAAGCGAGCCGTTGGATCGGCGGTATCTACGACTACGGCGCGCGCGCTTGGAAGTGGGGCGGCGAACTACGGCGCATGCACTACCAGTCATTTTCCAAGATGAAGCGCCTCTCCCCCGAGGAACTGAGGTGGAACTGCATCGCCATGATGCCCGAACTTCTCTACAGGTAACTCCTTCAATATAGAGTCATTCATTAAACTTTAAAGTTACCTCAATTATCTGTTAATATTCCATACAATATGTGTGTTTAACCACTTAAGCATGCTGTTGGTTTTTTTTTAAGTTGGCAAAAGTGAGAGCGGCCACCTGAATTCGCCGAGAAAGCGAAGCGATCGCAACCCATATATATCCGCAATTATAAATGCATTGCCTACTCTTAAAACACGAAGAGGAAGATTCATAAAATAGAATATTTCCTCTTCCTTTGCGTCTCCTCCACCGTCAAATTTAAATTAAAATTATTCTTGAGTTGAAGTATTTTTAAATTACGATATTTCAGTAATGCATTGTCTTTCTAAAGTAAAAAAACTACAGAATACAATAAAATGGAAATGTATTCTTCGTTTACAATAAATCCAGCAATCTACTAAACTAAGAACTACTACGAACTACGTTTTCTTTTGATCCCAGTTAGCTTGTAGAAGTTAAGAAAAATGCGCAACTCGACAAACAATTGTCTGTAGAGCTCAGAGCTCGGAAGTTTAACTAGGAGTAGCTCTCGGAAGAAATAAGACGTGGAATTAGTTAGTTGCGACTTGTTGGTACTTATTTAAAACTTGAAATCGAAATGTTTAAGACTAGATCAAGAAAGTTTTAAGTAGAAAAAGAGCTTACGTTTTTATATTTCGTATTTAAAGAAAGATTTAAATGTAATTAAAAATGTAATTAAAATAACTGGTGACTAATTAAAACTAAGTTTATAAATAAATATTCCTTTAGAGGGAATGTTTGGTTCTCTTCTAATATCCAAGACGATAAGGATCAATCTCAAAGCTAAATAATTTTCTTACTAACTCTCGCAATAGCAAAATGGCGATATTACTCTTTTACTAGTGATTATTACAGCACGATTCTCCATTAAGATATTTATCTCTGAACCATAAGTATCTAAAAGCAAAATATATCACGTTATCAGAGCATGCAATTAAGGGCAGTTATTGCAAAAGTTTTACCACAACCCTCCACTAATAAAGTATGGGCATTGAATTAACGTAACAAATGTCAAGTTCGTGACAAAAGCGTGTCGGGGAAGCGAGGGTCATTGTAGCGGACTGAGCCACGCGCCCTAAACTTCGGAATTTGTTCTATAATTCATTCTGTAAAATGGCTGCAAAGAATACCAGTCATAAGCGACAGCGGAATTCGCATATTTATTTATGTAATGTTTTTAATTTAAGAAGCTAAATAGTTATCTGGCAATAGTCCTAGCATGACATAGATTTTATTTATCATGTCTCTCCTTGCATTTTTATTTCAATTATAAGAAGTCATTAATTTGGTACCAATAGTTGTATATTCAACAGTTAATATTTTTGTATTACCAAAACGCTACCGCTTATGCCTTGTATAATTACCGAATTTATACCAAACGATTTGCTAAAGCGATTATGTTTAAACAAAAATCAATACCAGGAATCGGCATTGAGTTTTACGAGCCGCGGCCACAGAGTCGGATTATGTCGCCCCATTGCTCAGCCGACCCTATGTCCTCGCAGCTCGCAGATGGCAATGTATGATTGGGAAATTTATTTCGGGGTTATTTACACATATTTAAGAGCAAAATTCAACTAAGAATATTCAAACACTATACTATAATATACGCGTACGCCATAAAAACATAATATGTATAAACAAATGTTATTTGAGGATACGGTTTGTGGCTTACACTAGTCTAAAATAATAAATAATTAGCTGTATTTTGAAAAGATATCAAATTTAGTATTATTGTTTAGTAATCAAAGATTACTTAATAGTAGCATGAATAATTACGATATAGTTCAAGGCAAAAGGATCAATTGGCAGGACGTCGTGAGAGCAATCATAGCCGTATGAATATAAATTGATGTTGAAGTCAAGCGAATTGACTTTTAATTCACACGTATGTAGAGCCCAACCAACAGCCGTGACTAGACATAGCTGATAACGATCTCATTGACATTCGTATGCACATTTCGTCATAAAAATTGACTCTATTACTATTCGTTTTTCTCGTAGTATACAAATCCACAAAACATTGTACAGTATAAAAGCTTTAAAAATAAAATAAGGTTTTATAGAGATATTTTAATAAAAATATGTAAAACAATTACACTGACAATATGTTTTAAATACAATAATATGATTTTTTCTTTTTTTTTTCTAACTGATTTTAACCTAAAACATGTAATAATTACCCTATAAATAACATTTTCAGATGGGCTCCGCGCAGCTGCATAGAGTCGAGGCAATACATTTGCCAAACTAAACTACGTAAGGTGCCGAAGACAAAGCTGAAAGACCTGCGACGACGCTGGCAGCGTATGGGCAAGATCAACGAGATCACCGCCCCCAGCGTCAGCCGCGAGGTCGACGACCCCCGCACCAATGACGTCACCACCAACCCAGTCGACAACCCTAAAGCCTTCGACCTCCGTCCCGCGCTGTACGGGCCGCGAGCCAACAGACGCGAACCGAATCCGATACGAAACCACCCGAAACCTTACGACCTTAGACCCAACGAGCTGAAGAAGAGATCTAGACCCAACGCCCGCAGGCGGCTCACCAGACCCTTCCCTGGGTAAGGCAAAACTTCGTACTTGCGATTGTTTACGCTCTTTCATGTTAAATATACGAAACAATGTAGTATACAGCATCGAGGGCTTAGAGGTTGTAATCTACAGGTCCTGGGTTCGAAACCCGTGTTGTAACAATAGGGTTTTGATTTTGAATTTCACACATATCTATGCAAATATTTGGAGATATGTGTGAAGTCTGCTAACCAGAACTAAATCAAAGGGATAGCCATTAGATATTGCAACTTTAAAACATTGTAAAAATTAATTAAAAGAAAGAAAAAGTCTCTGACGATTAGAAAGTCAGGGGTGGAAGTATAAAAAAAAGGGATAGCCATTACTAACTTAGTATGATGTAGAGAGAGCTGTCACAAAAAAGAAGACTGCTTTAAAAAAACGTTTATTACTTAAGACAAATCTCTATAAAACAAATTTGAAATTCCAGTTACAAATGGAACCGTCACGACCCCGAGGCGTCGTTCCGGTACAACTCTGAGCTGCTGCGGTCGGGTCGCACGGGGCTGAGTCCGCAGCAGGTGAACGGGCATTTAGCGCGGCTGCGGCACCTCCGCGACAGACAAGTCCGACGTCGGCGGCTGCGCGACGACGATTGGCTCGTCAATGACGTCAGACAAGTGCTAGTGCCGACGCACTCGCGCACTTACACTGTCGACAATAATATCAGTGCTTTACACCCCAAGGCTATTGTCGAAGAGTTCGATATGATCCCGCGTCCCATTGTACTGCCGAGACCCGCGCGCGGCTTAAACTAGTTATATAGAAAAAAGTAGGGCATTTTTCGGAACTTAACTAGCCTCTATTACCCAAAGAGATTCAAAAAATATATAGAGGAAGCATAGTTGACACTTCACTTGACATTTCATATCCACTAACGCTATCTATTGACAAATCCTCAAAACCACAGGTTATAATTGACTTTAACTGTCAATAGGTGTCGTTAAATAAAATTTTAGTTTATGAGACTGTTTAGTTTTAATAAACAAAAGATAGAGCTTATTATAATTTTGTAAAATGTTTTAAAACATGTCAAGCAATCATAAGGTGGCACTAAACTTGACAATTAACATAGTACCTGTTTGTTTTATATGTTTTATTGGGCAATATTACAGAGTTTATAATGATATAAGACAAGTATGCGCGTTGTACGATCACTTCGTCGCCGTTATTTTTCGGTTCTAACGTATGCAAGTGTTGCCAGCGTCTCCCGCGCAAACAGTACCTTTCAAAGAAGTTTACGGTGAAAAAGTGTTGGTTACTATGCCAAGTCTATATATTTCTTAAATGTCTTTGTACCCTACTATATATTTATCTTTTCTATGCTTTGATTTCTATACTTATTATTTCAATGTCTTACTGACAAATTGTCTCTGACATTGTGATTTGATGTAGTAATGCTTTAGCTGTTTCTCATCGTTTTAATATTCCAATCACGAAATCATGACTTACTCTATGTTCATCTTTTATCTTCTGTTGTTCTGAGTAGAATGAAATAGAAGTATATTAGTCAACTTGTTTTCGATTTTTCATCACATTTAATAAATATCATTCTTCTAATGATAATTTTATTCCATCTTAAATTGTGCATCTTAAACTTTATGATATTATCTATGCATTAAAATATTTATCAGTAGAATATAGGCTAATTTTGAATAATTAAATTAAATAAAAACATACGCTCAGACTTAGGCTGGCATCGTTTACTATTAACATCTATGGTACTGATAACGATTAAACTTATATTATTCGCAAACAGCACTTATAAAACTTACAGATGCACTAGCAAACATGATCATTAGATAAAAATATTTCAATAAATGCTAATATTAACACGCTCAATACCAACTTACTCTATGGAATTCAGTTTCGTAAAAGCGGAGAACGTGTTAACCTTTCAATGTAATGTTACTATGCGTATTTATAAAAAAAACTAGTCAGTAAGTTTATCGCGAAATACAATAAAGTATTTCTTATACCAACCATTATGTTTAATACAATATTGCTATCAAATTAATTATTTTCTCATCGCTTTAAGTGTAATTTATTAAAAAAAATTAACACAATATAAATGTGTCGTACACAATATTGGCATTTCGCTTTGTTTTACGATTAGTATTAATTATAATTTTATTCCAACTTGTATGTCGTTTAGGTTAACACCTTTATGTATAAGTACCAACGTCTTAGTCCTCGCATTTAAATCACGAAATCATATTTAGATGTACCGCGCCATCTATCGCATGACAAGAGAAACTTTCCTTCGTAAAAGAATTTAGAGCCCGCGCACATCTTTGACTCAACTGTCGCACAACTAAAAATCGAATATGTGCTCCTCCATTTAAGCTCATAAGAATTAAAGCGAAACTAAACAGTTATGCCACAGTTTAGTCAATGTTGTGAGCGCGCTTAGACAACACGTAGTTCGTAGAAAGTACTGTTTAATATTTAGAACTAGTGTTATTAAATTACAATTCTCTTTATCTTAGCCTAACACATACAACAAGATACTAGTAAATATATTCATCTCTTTTATTCTCTTTGACAAAAATGAGACAAAAATAGCCTGTTTGTAGACGAATTGAAAATAAATACCTACATTTATTGCACGTTTTATATCTATCATAATCACATTTCATCAAATTTCTTATCATACCTACTTACTTGTAAAATACGGTTGTAAAATTTCGTAAATGTAAGTAAGAATACATTTAATTTTTAAATTTCAGTTTGACAGATGAATGATGGACAAATCTAGATATGGTTTCGTTTAATTTTAATTATTACATGGAGAGATTATTTTCCTATGTTGTAATGAACGGCTGCATTTTTATGACGACGATGTAATAAATTGTTAGAGCGGGCGCACACATTTGACTAAACTTTCGTACAACTATTGTGTGATTGTTGTGACAGACAATTCAACTGTTTAGTTGCACAACTAAAAATCGAGTAGTGTGCGCATATAATTATAAACTGATAGCAATCAAAGCGAGACTAAACAGTTGTGGGGTAGTTTAGTCAAAGTTGTGCATGTACTCTTACTGTAAATTTATTTAACGTATCAAAAATATATTGTCTCCCTCGTTCTTTATGAATAAGAGAGAGATAATGTGAAAATGAGTAGACGTATGCAAAGGTTGGATTCCACCAAAGGTGCAGTATTCTAATGAATAATCAGTTTTTTCATAAAATTAATTGAAATAAATGCAAATTTTAATAAGTTCTGCACCCAAGTGGATACCAGTCCTTATAATTATTTTAAGTGCTTTAATATCAATGTAATGTATGTGTTAATTTTCTCTAAGATTTGGTTTTCAATACCACGTCCACCGTTTTGTAAGAAACTTATCATTTTAGTATTATTTTCTTACCTCCATAGTTTTAGATACAAAATAATTTTCAAAGCAAAATAATTTATTTTCATGTCAACTTTTTTTTTCTATTTTGTATGTGAATAATTTTAATTTGTACAGAATCATTAAATATTGTGTCATATTGAAACAAAAAGTATTTTTTTTTTGTTTAATTTTATTTGTATCTTACTTGTACTTTTGGAATGTAATTAAATAAAGTAATTTCCAAGAAAATTTTGTTTTATTAAACGTGTACAGCGCCATCTAGTATAGAGTAGCTAAAATATGTTGGAAGGCAACACGGGTAAAAAAAACGACGTGTGTACTTTAGTTTTGAAATTTAACATGACCATGTAAAGTGTAAAAATTAAAGTATTTTTAATCCTATTAACTTTTATAGGTCAAGTTAAATTTCATATGTAATGATTATTATTACAATACATTTTTTTAACAGGAGTTATAGTGCACCGAATAGGTACAATATTATGACATATCTGTGACGATCCTTATTTTTTCAAATGAAGTCTACATATAGATCCGATCCTGACTATCTATAAAGGCGAATTTAGATTTGATTTATCTAGACAACACTCCTCCGCCTTCTTAACCTCTAGTTCAGAAGTACACTCTAGGCTTGTAAAATTATTGCCAACTGCTAACTGTAAGAAAGTAACAAAACTAGATTAGGTTACTTTCCGATCCCTCATAGAAAAATATATGGATACGATCGGGTCGACGACCTGGATGGCAGTGTATTTCGCGGCGCGAGATGCTGAGATACGGTCGTCATGGCAACGCGCGCCAAACAACCAACAACCTCTGCGCCACGAACAGCATGACGATGGGCGATGTAAAGAAATATTACAGCTTTTTTTTTTACCTTATTATTTCAAATAGAATTAAGACTACAATGGTACAATAATCCGTAAAATAAAGAGTAAATATTTCTCTATTAAATCGTTTGAAACTTATTGCAAATTTCGTATAAAACATATTAAAAACTCAAATCTGCCAACATCAAAACCAAATTATAAATATATTATCAATAAAACGAAGCTTGTTAATTTTAACGTTATATGACCTTAACTTGACTTAAATAATAACAATTGCCTTGTCACTGATATTCATCAAAATTTAACTTAAGTTACTTGAACATAGCGTGATTTACATGTAATAAAAAAACAAAATAATCATCAAATCTACAATAGGCTACATGTTATTGTTATAATTCTGACATCTATAACTTTTCAAGGTCATACTATGCATAATAGTTTAGTAATATTTTCTCGAAGTTTAAAGAATAAGCAACATTAACATCCAAAAGTAATGTTATTAAGAATATTAAAATACATGCCGAATCAATATTTTCAATAATACATCAAGAGTAATGTTAAAGAAGCTTTGTAGTGACAGAAATGGGTCACATACTACATACTAGGGACTAATAGCACAGATTCACCTAGCGATAGTATGCGTAACAAAGTACGCGTACATATTAACAAGTTCAACAATTAAGTCTTCTTTACTGTGAAATACAATGTTTACTGAAATGATAGGCGTTTAAATTATGCCAGGTGTTTTTACTAATTGTTGTCTTACTTTATAAAAACGAATTATGTTCATGAGCTAAAAATATAAGTAACTGTTTGTGAATTTTACTAGTTATTACAAATCAGTTTTAGTGATCGCCGATAGGAACAAACGTCATATTTTTTTAAGTCTTGTATTAAATGCTATACGTTAAAGAAAGCAAATCTTCAACTTGTATCGTCATTTATTTACGTTTAGAATAAATCGATTAATTGCAATTCTATATCCGAGAGGTCAAGGTTCGTAACAAGCAATGATTACTGTTACTCAGAATAATACGTCATTTGAACCGATTAAATCGATTCTGCCATTCATGAGGTTACATGTTTTATCTAATATTTACTCGTAGCACGATTCATACAACAAAGCAGTTAGAACTTTACTGTAGTTATTTATAGCGTTACTGATAAGTGTGGTGATTATGGTAGAAATATTTTCATTGTTGGCAACAATTGTATTTTATTGTCTGTAGGTTACTGAAATAACGATTACAATGGACTCGCTGTCTTAAATTGTAATCTTACACCATTCAACTCGATACAAAATACCAAAAAAAAAATGCTATTTTGATGTTTAAAATAGTTAAACGGATAAATTCGTTGTCATCATTTACTTGGATTGTAATTTGGGAAATGTCAATGTCATAGATACAATAACATAGCTTAGCTTTGTTTTTAATTTAAGCTGTAAAAGCAAAGCAAATCTTTTAAAGGAAATATTTATGACATCACATAGATTCAATAGTTAGCATTCACCTACAGAATAATCAATAACGCGCGTGGATTTTATAGCGTCAACAGTAATTTGTACAAAGTGCAGCGTGGAGTTGGACACGCAATGCCCCCTGTCCGTTGCACCCGTAAACTTTAAAAAGTCCGGAAATGACACTATACTAAATACCATAATCCTAAAATGTAGACACATTGTTTGTGGCATGGTTTTATGGCATTGGATTTAGTTGGTTTTAATCAACTTTCTTCCTTCATAGATCTTAAAATCTCATATGATAAAAAAAAAACATATAACAAGCTAGTCGAATGTCTAACTTACAGCCCTTAATTTACCAAAAAATCTTATGTTTTAGTTTGTTCCACCATATTCATGAAAATTTAAATAAGGGAATATTTTTTTCGTTTTATTTAACTAAGAAAATTAAACTACACATTTTAATAACATAAATAATTGTTGAGGAGTTGTAAAAGATTTTTCCATTCTACGTTTGTATGTGCCTGTAATTTCCATGTAAATACGTGGTGAAGGTGAGGGTGGCACGTGGGCAGCGGTCAGTCGTCGCGCCGCGGCCGTCGCGCGCTGGACATGGCGAGAGCCCTCTCGTAACCACAACACGAACTAGTAGCCATGGCTGACGATATTCCAGGTCTGTTCCATTTTCAAATTATTAAAAAAAAAACATTTTGACGCGGATTAGTTGACATTACAGATTAATAAATATGTTGTTTTTGGAATTGAAATAAAAACGAAATGCATGTAATAAAATTAATTTCTTGTGATTTTTTGTCGAATTTAAAATTTTTGTACCAACTGTTTTATAACAGTGAAAAGTAGTTGAAATTAGCTTACCCTTTTATATATAAACGTAGTGTATTCTTATAACATGATCGCCGTTAAATTGCTATTGATTTTGTAATACCATTGAATTTAGGTCGTGTGGAAAACATTTTGTAGCTCCACATCTCACATTTTTTGACCAAATAATTGAAGCAAAAAATAATAATAAGAGAATGTGGTGTTGTATCTAACAAGCGTTTCTTATAGTTCCTTCTTGACGCTTCTTGCCCCTTTTCAATGTTTACTCCACTTACCAACACAAATTAAACACTGTAAGGCGAGTAGAATAATTAAAAAAAAATATTTTTAGAATTTTCTATAACTAGTTTAAATGTATAAAAATCCTAAGTAATGTAGTAATCAAAGCTTGATTGCGCACGAAACTACTTCTGGTAATCTGCCCCTCAAATAACCCATGAGGGAAATATTAAGACACCGACCAGTGGTTTTAAACAAGTATAGAATAAAATAACAAAGTCCAATGTATACAGTTAATAAAAATTGCAGTTTACCGTTGTAAAACGTAAATTTGGTATTTTTCAAGTTTCGTAAACGTAATACAATTTCCAAGTACACCATGACCATATTTTCAGACATAGTTATTTTTAGTTTAATATGTCGCACCAAATTGTAAATTGTCTGATAACAATCGAACGTGTAAAATATATGATGGAAATATCGGATTTTGTTCCCTTACTTTTTTAAGTATCTGAACCTCTATCAGCCAATGGTGGGACAGGCCCTAACTATTTTATTTTCATGGCCAAGTGACAATTGCTTTCCATTAAGTACGCATGTAGAGGGAAAAAGCTCTAGAAGGTCAAAATTAACATAAGCCGTGTAATTTTATTTTCGCGTAATAAAACATATTCGTAGTTTCTATTTCCAGCGCCTTAACTAATTCGGCAAATGAAAGCCTTACTGAGTTTCGTACATGATTACGATCTGATGTCCGATTAGGGGTTGAACATTACCTCAAGGTCAGCGGATATTTCGTGCGTCCAAAGTAATAAACTCCTTTATTTCAAAGAGTACTAGGTTTTTACAGCACTTTTACAGACGCCTACGCAAATATTTATGTATATATTTTATGCGGAAAGCACGTACATACATACGCCAATTTTAACTGAAAATGCATTATTAGTTCATTTATTCTCTGTTTCTACAAATCGTATCGGAATGAAGCAAAGTTTCAGCGATTGTTACTTTTTTATTTAGAGGATCTTAAAAAAGATATCCTACTTCTAGAATAAAAGTAGGCTTATGTAGGTTTTAACGACTAAAACTCCCTCAGCGGCCATCCAGATTCTAACAGATATCCGGGACTGAGCCTACGGTGAAATTTCCCTGTATTTCAGTATGATCATAGTCAATTATTACGTCTGCGTGTGTTAGATTTTGTACAAAATTGTTTTGTTCTAATAAAGGTTTTTTATTTGAATTTTGTTTATAGATACGGGCGCGGTGTTCACATTCGGCAAGTCGCGGTTCGCGGACAACGAGCCGAGTCACTTCTTCATCAAAAACGACCCTGTAGTTGCCATCTCATGCGGCGACGAGCACAGCGCTGTCATCTGTCGTAAGTACTCAACACTATACTTAAAATGTGAGTTTCCACTGTCGAATCATAACACAACTGTTAAACAGAGAGAGACGCCATCAACATCTGTTGCAGGAACTTCTTTGATGATGGTGTTCGACGGACATCTAAACTGCAAACAACTTCTATAATTAATTTGATTAGTATTTACTGTATTCTTAAATAGTCCAGACGATCTTATCTTAACCAGTAACAAAGCATTACTTTTCTACACCAAGAGGTGACTTTGACCTTTGTCAAGTAACGCTTTAATTGGCCCTTTACGTGACTTAAGTCTTCAAATAATAAAAGCCAATAAATTAACATAGGACATTGATCTTTGACTACGATTACTTTTATGAACACGTACCTATTTGCGGTTTCGCGTGTGTAGAACTCACTTTATGCCACTGAATCTAGTAATCAAATTAGACGAGACGCACAGCAAAAGAAATTAATTGAAACAAATAGGTGTAGCTCATGTTAACCTCAATATTATTTAAGCCTTACGTTCCTAGACCACCAATATCTTGTACCTATATAAAACTATACCTATTAACTATACACTATAGTTTTTTTTCAAGTACATTATCTGTTGGGATACCTACGGCAAAAGATGATTTCTTAGCGTAAATAACTTCTAGGATTCCGGAGATATAGGATAGGGTAAAGCAAAGGTTTTGAGCTACTTTTTACCATTATGTCTGTGTTGTGCAGAAAATGGTCGCGTGTTCGTGTTCGGGGGGAACGCGTGGGGACAGCTGGGACTGGGCCACCGCGAGGAGGCGACGCGACCAAGTTGCGTCAAGTGGCTCAAGCCCCAGCGCGCCATGTTCGTCGCCTGCGGACGCGCTCACACCGTCTTCGTTACAGGTCACACGAAAATATGTAACGATGAATTAACGCTTCGATTTTCTGCTGAACTTTGAAGATTTGAAAATCATCGTTTCTTTTAATTACATAAGCTATTACAATTGCAGATACAAATGCGATCTACACTGTGGGCTGCAATGAGGAGGGTCAGCTGGGAGCAGGCGATACGGAGCCGCGCAGTGTGCCGCATCTAGTCGAGCTAGAGGCTGCACCCGCGCCCGTACGCCAGGTCTCCGCCGGCAGCAGCCACACCGCCATACTCACAGGTCATAGCTAGCTTCTTGCAAGTCGTACTGTAATATGCCCCTACTAGTCACATCGTAGTGTTACCAGCACCAACGTTAAAAATGTGGGAATAACCTCAACCAATGTGTACAGAGGATGGGCGAGTGTTTGTGTGCGGGTCGAACTCTGAGGGTCAGCTGGGAGTGGGCGAGGGCACGCGCAGCTGCAGCCGTCTCACCGAGCTCAAGTTCATGGAGCGCATCGCCTTCGTCGAGTGTGGATATTACCACACCGTCTTTATTACTGGTAACAGTAAACCAAAACAAGGATTATAGATTCAATTACTGGATAGAAAGAAGGATCCATGAAAGTTAACCAAGACTTCAGTTCATTATAACAATGTTTTCTTCCAGAAAAAGGTGCAGTTTTCGTAACAGGCGATAATGAGAATCAAAAGCTCGGTATCCCCAACACAGCCACGACAATATACTCCCCGGAGGTGCTTCCACTAAATGTGCCGATCAAAAGCGCGTGTTGCGGCGCTAACCATACCTTCCTGTTGTCTATGGACGAGAGTCAGATCCTAGCATTTGGTTCCAACGAGAAGGGCCAGCTGGGGATGCCGAAGGAGGTAGAAAATGTTACCACTCCCACTGAGATAGACATGGAGAAAATGTTCGATGGTTATCAGCTGAAGCTAGTGGCTTGCGGTGCGATGCATACCGCTTTTGTTACGGGTGAGGCTTCGGTATTTGTGAACCTTTAGTCGTTGTCAATGTTTAGCCTTTACTTAAAAATCTCGTTCATGCAGAAATATAGAATAAGGTTTATTGCTAAGTTCTCTATATTGTGTGAAAAATCGTCGATCATTGTTTGGTTTAATTGCTCTCGGGGGCAGGAAATGGGTCTTCGCGATTTACGATACTATAATTATTTTCAAAACTTTGCTGGTATTAATCACAAATAGGTAGGTGTTCCTTTTTAAATAACGTGCATTTGTTAAAATACAAATATAGGGGTTACTGACAGCAAACATTAATTTTACACCTGCATGACATGCAAATTAAGTTCTTAAATGGAAGCTAAAACTTAAAAAAGGCCTAAACAGAAATACTGAAAACTTACTGAAGACTTCACCAATGCTATATAAGTTCGTTCATAGTATTCGAATACTCCTTAACAGTAATTTCTCAAATACGCCGATATCAACTAGAAATGTCTATTCCTAAATATCGTTCGTAAATATCTATTTAGAAGGATGTTTAAAAAAACAGTTTTAATTTAAATATTGCGTTAATGTACCAGTATCGCGAATACATTACAGATAACGGTCTACTTTACACGTGCGGCGAGTCGCGACACAACAAATTGTGTTTGGAGGTGGAGGAGGACGCCAATAACTCGAACGAGGCAGTACACAATCAATACACGCCCAAGCGGGTCACCGCCATGGACGGCTACATCGTCGACAACGTGTCGTGCGGCGGCTGCCACACGCTGCTCACCGCCACCAAGACTTCACACGACGATTTAAACAACGAATTAACTACATCGCAAGAGCAAACGCAAAAAATATCTTTAACCGAACTACCACCGCTACAAAAAATACCAGGGCAAAAAATCGGCGAAATGTTTAGTGCCGACGTTCTGAATGCCAACAACAATGAAAACCACACGGACACTGTGAATGCAAACAATCACGAAGAAATCGGATCGATAGATTCATTAGAAGCGAATGTGAGCGGCTCACACATCGTCAACATAAACGACCTTGATGAAACTGGTAGTACACACGATATACCGGACATAAACAAAGATTACAAACATTTAAGTCCATTAAAAGCTGTAATAAAAGGCACGACTTCGCCAGCGCTTGCAGAAATCGAAGCAAAGGACATTTTACAAAGCCCGGATAAACTCATTGATAAATCTGAAGAAGAAATAGAAAATGTCATCAAAAATTTTGAAAAAGACACAGTAATTAAAATGGAAGTTGTGGAAGACATTATACATAAGACGGAAGTAAAATTAGATCCATTGCATATCGATGAAAAGACAACGCTTGAAATACCGGACAAAACAGCAGAAATAACAAACTCTCCGCCTCCAAAGTCGCCGTTCATTCAAGATTTGCTTCATATACCAGACATATCGCAAATAAGCCCTAATTTAAGCGCACACAGTGATGATGGTCAGAAGAGTGATACTGGACAGTCGGAAAACGAGACGATTTTATGTGCTTCCGACAAATCCAGCCCTCAAGCTGGTAAAACTAAAACTCAAGCGGTAATGCCGATTGTAAGAAGTGAGGATAATATTGATTCAAATGAAGACGCTCATAATGAAGACGTAGTGGTCGAAAATAAAGTTGAGGAGAAAGGTCGATTTGCGCGTATCTTCCAATCAATCAGGGAGAAAGAGAATTCTTGTATGGGTAAAGGAAAAGTTATCGAAGAAAAAGTTATAGGTAAGCAAAGACTATTTTATTTACCTTTTCCATAAGAAACTGTTGGATTTATTCTTTTTAATAATGCATAGGATACACATAGTTCCTCCTTCCTCCCTTACTACCTCACAATTAGTGTTGTGGTTACTTACTCGTGTATTTTTTAATAATTAATTTATTTTTATATTTGTAAGAAAACGTGCACAAAGGAATGGACAATGCGGAGGAGGCCGTCCACAAAGTAGAGGAAAGAGTCGAAACAGAAATAAGGAATCAGACAAACTCAAGAACTTGCAACATTTTATAATTTATTCGTAAAAGCTGATTGGTTAGTTCTTTATAAATGTTTAAAAATTCGAGAAACTTTCTATTTCTATTTCTTAATATTAATTTGTATATTTGTAATAAAATTAATTTTTTTAATTAAGATTGTTAAAAAAAATATATTTCAATAAAATTATTGCTAATATCCACATTTTATTTGTAGTTTTAATTTTGGTTTATCATGTCTATCTAGGCAATGCGGTATTTCTCCACATACGTATCGTAATTATTTTAGATTGTCTTGAGATTTATTTAATTCGATTATGACAAGGTAAATGTATGTTTGTAAGGAGCGTCGGTGGCTCAGTGGCTTGAGCACTTGACTTGTAATCTACAGGTCTTGGGTTCGAATCCCGCCGCCATGTACCAATGTGATTTTCGATTTTTTCGAATTTTCATATGTACATAATTTACCCGACGTTCTTACGGTGAAGGAAAACATCGTGATGCAACCTGCACATATTGGTGAAGAAATTCAAAGATATGTGTGAAGTCAACCAACTGCACTTGGCCAGCGTGGTTGACTATGGCCTAGTCACCCTAACTTTAGGGTAGGCTCCGAGCCCCTCGGTGTGGACGTATAGTGAGCTGGTGATGATGAAATGTATGTTAGAATAAAATGTCCCTAAAATTTTCATTAGTCTATTATAAGAATTCGTAGAATGGGCAATGGGCAAAGAAATAAAACACACTTAAAAATTAACACTGTTTTGTTCAAAAACAATCACATCTTACAAAACTAAAGCCTACAGACGCTCAGTTGTAACCGACAGTTAACTGAAAAGTCGAAATGTTTAGTTAAAACGTGTGTAAGCAAAATTTTAACTTACATATGAACTATTTAGTTAAATTTTTGCTTAAACACACTGAACTGAACATATGTTAATATAACCTACAATCAACACGAAAACCGAAATGAAATACTTTGATCTTTTATATTGTAATACTGCTCTTTATGTGGCTGACACAAAACCCTGCTAGTACCTATATAGGCTTTTACTTAATAGCATATTTCAAACACAGACTACGTCCATACGCGTCTTTGTAACAAATCGAATTTGAATTTAGAATCATAAATTAAGAAATTAAAAAAACTGTTCCTCTCTTGCCTTCTTTAAATTAATGTTTACCTATTATTAATTATAAATTCTCATACTTATTTAAGGTACATATTGCTAAAATACCTTTGACTAAACTATCGCACAACTATTTTGCGATTGTAGATTGTTTTGCAGCCAATTCAACTGTTTAGTTGCACAACTAAAAATCGAGTAGTGTATGCACGTTCTATAAGCACATAGGAATCAAAACGAGACTAAACGGTTGTTCGATAGTTTAGTTTCAGATGTGCGCACAAGGTTTACAAGTTATTAATAATAGTATGTTTGGAGTTATGTGAGTGCAGACCCAGTCTAGTGTTCGTCGGCAACTTCTCCTTTAACTTACGACCAATCTCTAGGTTCGCTGATTTATGATTTAAGTTCGTCACCCAAACACCTATAGGTATAATATTTATTAAATTCTTTAGTGTTCTAACCTTGAAAATTTGGACCTAATATCGTATACAATAATTTTGGTATTAGATTCAAATTTACAGGGGTTTTAGTAAAACGATACTAAGCAACTTACCGAGTTTACATTTAGGTCTTACATTAACTACGACTCCGCAGATTTCCTCTCCATGCGGTAAGTTTTCGCCAATCAGCATTAAAACCTACGTTAATAAAGATCAATTTAACTTATACAAGAACCATTAAAAATATGATGAAAGACTACAATATAGTCTCACAGCTGAAATCTATTATTCTGTTGATAGGAGAACCTCTCATGTCAAGACCCACTTGGGGTCGCTGCGCCAACGCAGTAAATAAGTAGCAGAATTTAAATTGCGAGGAAGCTTGTATTGAGTATTTGTGCTGACCAGATATAACCAGATATTGTCGAGTTCCGCAGCGCGCCTCTTGTCGATCGTGAGCAGCCAGCGGCCGCCCTGCGCGTTGGCGGGGTCCTCCCACATTGGCCGGATGCCTTTCTTAAACACCGAGTAGTCTTGCCCTACCGGTAACTCGGACGGGGTTTTCGTATGGTGATATATACTAACAAATCATTCGTTAAATATCGAAAACGATAGTTTTAATTGACATAAATCAGTATCTAACATTTTCACATTTTTCAAATTGCTTTTTTTGCGAACTAGTTTGTTTATTTAAAGTCCGGTGTGTTTGCAGTTCATCTACTGTTACTATGTCTCAACACTTAAAGTCCTACAACTCATTAGCTTCATAAAAATGCATTTTGGGTAAACTAACCTCCAATAATCTTCGACCGTTTCAAACGTCGTCAACTCCACAAGGTTCTCGCTCCAATCTTTGCTAGCATTAGTGTACAACCAAAAACTCCACATATTTTTCAGAGGATGTTTAATATTCAAATATTCAATACTTTCAGATTCGACAATTTGTTCGTTTTTCATAACCTTCAATCAAATTATTTATTTAAGAAAGTTTGAAATTCTTTAAATACGAGCTGATTTCAAATTCAATATTTTAATCAATTTTATATTATTTTATCACAGCATATCCTTCAGAACAAAGTTACTGAGATACTAAAGTTATTATATTCGCAATCACTTGTATATTGCAAAATTATAAATGATTAAATCCTAAGTTAACTTGAAAACTTTAAATTGTCTGTAAAGTAATAATTTAGTAATTGAAAAAAAATAAAATCCGGACTCCACTGTTATTGTTATGATAGAATTAAAGCCTATTATTATGAAATATGTACTTACTTTCGTTTTCTTCAATTTACTGCAAGTAGCCATAACAAATAGAACCACTCCAATCCAAAATAAGAATGAAATAAAAATTACTTTTTAATCACAGACAAAAGAGAAGGCAGCAGGCAAGTTATAAAGCCGTCTTATCAAAAAACGCCACTTATTAAAAGAGGTATTTCCCCGTATTCGTCATAAATGTTGCCACAACTACAGATAACTTGTCTAATTCAAAAGATTAATTGTAGATAATTCAGTCAAAAAAATCGTTTCATTTAGCTCTTAACCGTTTTATAACCTTAAACTTAAACTTTTGTGTAAGTTGGGGGACAAAGATAATTAATACTTCTACGTCCGTAAACTATTCTTGTCTATGGATCATCATAGTTTTTTTTAAAAGAGTTGTGGTACAATACAATCATTTTCCTTATCCTATTTCTTTTGGAAAAACTCATAATCACCGATAACATCGTGACACCAAACCATTGAATTCCAAAATATTTCAAATTTGAATTAGTAATCCACTTTCATTATGTTTACTCATTTTAAATAGAACTAACATGTTATCAATTAGGAGAAACTGAAATTATCAGCGTTTATTTACTTGGCTGAAGAAACATTATTTCAGAATGGACACTCTCCTATAGCCATATTTCGCATTAACACTTCCTAATTTCACTTTGTATACATGTTTATGTACCTAAAATTCGGGTTATGTATTATCTATTTATGTGAGCTCTTAGTCAGCTGATAAGATAAACGATATTACATGGTAGAAGCACTTGTATGTTATTTTTAGCATTTTCATCTAGGTGATGCAACAAATATATCTTTGTATGTCACACTTTCTAAATAATACAATGATCAGTGAAACTTGTGTGGACACACAAGTCACTAAAGAGGTATGAGGAGTAAATAAATAAAACTACTGCTTTATTTTAGTACTTTTTATACAAAATACCAAAACATTCTTTAACATAATGCGCAAACATCAATTTCAAACAATGAGTTGTTACACTAGCGAGACATATACCATCGTACAGGGATACTAAAGCGTGACAAATTAAATAAACGAAAGTGTTAAAATGTTAAAAAAAAAGAAAATTCCGAAGTCAACTTCCTGAATCACCGGATACTTAATAAGTAGTAAATACAGACTTATAACTAGGTGACCATTTAAACATAACCGAGCACAGCTTTAGTACAAACATCAGACTTTTTGTTAATCAATAACTGCTGGTTGAACCAAGCTCTCGTTACGAGGCAGACGTGAGTGACAACATAAATACTACTTCTGTTAAATAAAACATATCTCAAAGCACCAACAGCCAGAGATGATAATTACACTTCTGCAGACAAATACTTAATCAAATTATTTCATTTATAAATATCCTTAATATCAAATCTCATAGTACCTCTATGCTGTTGGCATATTAAGGAAGTTATTTTCTTTTAATGTCTTTTCAGACAAAATGTTTGAGTTGTTCCAGCCTATCCTAAGTTAGGGGTGATAAGGCCATAGCTAAACAATGCTTGCCCACTTAGGGTTGATTAACTATTCACATATCTTTGTATTTCTTCAGTAATATGTGCAGTTTGCATCATGTTTTCCTTCATCGGAAGATCGTGTAAATTATGTACATATGAAATTCGAAGAAAGAAAATGACATTGGTACATGGCAGGATTCAATCCCAGGACCTGTAGATTACAAGTCAAGTGCTTATACCCTGAGCCACTGGTGTTCTTTTTTTTACATGCATTTATTCCAATGATTGAAATAAATTACTTCACAACTAGATTGTTTTGCACACAACAATATTTGGGCCTGCCACAGTGAAGTATATAATACTTCAACTATAAACCTGTATTTCAATTTTGTTTATTTATTTTAAGAGGGGGCAAATGAGTGGAAGATGTCAGCTCTCATAGACATTTGCAATTCTAGACAAACTAGATGCAATAGTCTTCAATGTTTGACTATTTGTTTTTGAAAATTTGTGACCTCTAGCATATTTACATGTAATTGTCTGCAAAAGTACATATAAAAATAATTACATTAAAACATGCTTAATTTTAATATCATCTCTGGACCATTGTTGCATATTCTAGACACAATTTTAATAATCTAAACAGTATATAGATTCTTGGTAGCAGAACTATGTTTGACCATAGTATCTCTGTGTAGCTGGAAACCTATTTTTCCATGGATGCCAAGCTGCTCTTTTATTTTCCTACCAATTTCAAGATTGGCTTGTTGCTTTGATGTATCTGCCGTCCATACACCTAGAAGTATTACATTAGAACAATGAAATTTTAAAAGTTGAATTTTGGCAGCCCTTGGGATGACCAACTTTGTTAGACCCATCTGCATACCCATTGATGACATCCTGTGTCATATGTTTATTTTAGTGCATATTTTTTTTTTGTACTTATATTTTTGGGCTTCAAATGACTGCACTAATAGTTCAGATCAGTTGATCTTCAACCAACCAGTTGGTTGATTGAACACTTGGCCACCCCTGTTATATACCATCTATAAATGGTAAATATTTTTGAATTTACAAAAGTATAGTAACTTTCAAAACTCACCAATTTTATCAAACTTAGGTCTTATATTCACAACCGCACCACAAATTTCATCAGAGTGGTCAAAATTTTCACCTATTAATAGAAGTATCTGAAAGTATAAGAATTATTAACATTTAAAAAAAATTTACATGAAAATCTACATTTTTTTATCTCCAATTGATATAGACATACTTTGAAGTTCTCGAAGAGAGCAAATCACTTTTACATAAAAACTGAAAGCAGATTAGTACATAACCAAATATTTTTACTCACCACTTCCAACCAAAATCGGTCTAAATCTGAGTTACGCTGCTTTTTCTCAAGACTGATAAGCCATCTGCCACCCATTTTGTTGGCGTCATCTTCCCACATGGGCCGAATGCCCTGCTTGAACACTGCATAGTCATGACCCTGACGTAGTTCAGAGGGTAGTTTGATATGGTGGTACAATCTGAAATGTTAAACTGTCTATGTAACATTATTTCAGAATAGATGTTTTATTTATTAAAATAGTATTGTAATGTGGCAACAATAAAATATTTATTTGGTCACAATTTACTCTTTAAATGAAAGTTAATTCAAGTTTAACATAATGATCGAATCAATAATAATTTACCTCCAAAAATCTTCCACCGTATCAAATGTAGTCAGTTCAAGCAAGTTCTCCTCCCATGTCTTAGTTCTGTCATTATCGTAAAACCACAGGCTCCACGTATTTTGAAGTGGATGCTTGATGAGGAATTCTGGTGGGAGCTCGGCAGGGGTGTTAGTCTTACTATCAGTAGTAGTCCCCTTTAACACAGAAGACATTTTAGTAAAACTTAACCTATACGATTTGAACTTAAAAATTAAGAATCACGTAAATAAATACAAGCAATACACAAATCTATTTAGTTTTTAATCAACGTGGGTATTAAAGATCAGGATTTTTTGTCAAAAGTGCTTTAAATTAAGCGAACAAGAAACAAATGCAACAGTGAAAGTTGGTATAGCCACATCACCATAGATTATTGTTAATTGATGCGGTATTTTAGCAAATTATTGTGAAATCTTTATTTTACGGTGGTTATTGAATTTTTAATTATTTGCTACCCACCTCAACTTCTTCGGTATTATTACCAGCCATATCACAAATTCTTTTTAGAGCCTTGGATTTTTGCAAAAGACAGCCATCGAAGCGGTGTTACAAGATCTGCCTTAAAATTTTGCAGATAATAAAGTGGTATATTTTAACGTTTCATATTTGTAATTATGATTTTATTATATGTAACATGATTCAATAAAAAAGAAAGAGTTTTCAACATTAGACATTCATTAACTATTGATTATTGTAGTTAAGATTAGTTTTTCTTGGCTTATTTTAGATCTCACTCGCAATCGCATGGCAGCCCCATCTTAAAATGTCAAATATATTTTCTGTCAAACTGGAACTGGAATAGAACCTCATATTTTCAGCGTAATTTTGCCGGTGTATCCGTCCGAATATTGCTTATTACCAGTACTAGGCTACTTATTAAAGGAAAATGTCTGTACAAACGTTATTGTTAGATTTTTCTATTGACCCCGCACGGGTTGGGGATGAAAGCGGTCAGAAAACTGTGTTCGGTCAGTTGGAGACAATTCTAAAAGAATATGTACCAAATCTTATATTAGCTGCTGATATAAAGATCGACGGCGGATCATTAAAACTATTAACAGGGAAAAAAGGGACCACAGTCTCTGTAAGATTGTTTGACAGGGGTCTAGTCACTGTAAACATAGAATATTACAAGGAGGACACTGAAGAGCCACTAATCAATTTCAAGGTAAACTTATTTCTGTACATTATTTCTATTGCTGCCAATTATTTAGGCGAAGGTGTTAATATAAACTAATAATTGCGATCATTACATACAGTTATCCTTGTAATATATAAAATACAAACAAAAGCATATTATGTTACCATACTGATGTTTAAGTAGAAATATAATATTGCATGATTATCATATAGAACTATTTTAACTAATCTTAGATATCATAGTCAATAAATTATAAAAATAAATGTCATATTTTGACTTAAATGGAAAAACATTTTTTAGTTTTTTTATTAATAGGTATGTTTAATTTTAAATAGTCCCATTTCAAGCTATACAATTTGGCACCTTTTGAATAATTTAGTTTGTTCAGAAAATGATAAAAAAATTAAAAAATTGGTACTTAAAATAAAAATGTCATACTTTCCCACAGTGCTTCTTTATATATATTAATCAAAGATATTTTTATTTCTACAAAATTGTTAGACCAAAAAACCTACAAAAGAATTTAAAAGAGAAGTGTATCATATGATACAAATAGTTTTTTTTTTATAATTTGAGTTAAGGTTGAGCGTGTAATTGTGTTTTAGTGCTGTAAACAACTGGAAAGTTTGGTGAAGGTATCCTTGGAGTGTAAAAGACTGAAATTATTGCCAACTATCAAACGGGGCTATAAATATGATGTTTACCTTACTAGTTCAGGTTAGCTGAAGTTTGTGGTCTTTGTATTTTTGCCCCTTTAACAAAAATTCATTACAAATTTATTACAAATATGAGCAGTTTTTTGTACAACACAGATATTTTATATTTTTCAATAATATTTTGTTAGTGTAGCTTCAGACTTTGTTTTTCATATTTTTTTTCTTAACAGACTGGTAAAGATTATATAAATGTATATAAAATGCATTACCACAGATCACTAGTTTACATTTTGATCATGAACATGATTACCATATTCTCATATTTTTATAAATTAAATTTTAACTGACCTTTCATATAATTTTGACAACAATAAGATTCTTATTCGGTTTAAAGTTCATACATTATTAAATTTTACATGTAGATTCCATGACATTACCACTTACTTGAATGATTGCATGTTTTTATCTCACATTTTATTATTTATACAGTGTGTGATTTGTCTTAACACTAACAAATTTTCCAGTGTTCATCAAAAAGACGCTCAGCCTTACCTTACACCAGAAACCCAGAGTAGGGAAAGCATGTTAGAGAAACTTAATTCTTATTAAAAAAATTTCACATTCCTAATATTACTAAGATTTTATCCATTGTAATGTAACCACAGATATTTTTTTATTTAAAAATTGGTTGATTTAATTGTTTTTTTGGAGTGCTAGGGGTTAGTCTTTTTTTAATTAACCATTGCTTGTTTATCCATGTTTTTTGATAGTCGGCGAGGTTATTGGAAGGTCAACTGAAAAAGTACATCACGTTCATAAAATCGCAAGCTTACGCTCCGATAAAAAGGTGCTTATTTAGCAGGTACTATCCGACGTCCGGTAAGTTTATTCGTTTTTTTTATTTGTTTAATTGCATTTGTTTGTTGTCTAATCAACATGTTACTAAAGCATTTAAAATGATTTACTTATAAGTAAAATTAATAAAAATGTGTAAATTAAAATATGACATAAATAAATTCTTTGAATGAATAGACCTGAATTTTAAAATTTAACCTTTTAGATTTAAAATCTTATACATTTTAATGACTGTTTGGATTTTTTTTTAAAACGTATTTAAACAGCAGTATTTATACGCTTATTAAACTTATGAATGCCGGCGTTATAATATTACAAAGCCCCACTGTCATCAGTGCCGGCGTTAGTGTGCACTGGACAGAAAGGGGCACCATAGATCTGCAGATTACACATTAACTTGTTAAACACTCCCCCCATATTTAGTAAAAAAAGGGGGGCGTAATAGAAATCTTTCCCTTCGCGATCGTATCCCTAAAATCGCTACTGAACGGCATCAGTTGAGCTTTTTGTTTTTTTTTTTTATTTAAGACCAATAACTGAAAACTTACAAGTCTTGTTACGGTATAAATAAATCGCACCTTCACCATAGTCGCATTCTCGTTTAAACCGCCGGAGTGCTTAAACCTCTCGTCCACGACCTTTCGGAATATAAAGAGTTTCTTCAAAGCGACGTTTCGTTCGAAGATGACCGATCAGTCAGATATTTATGACATCAGCGACATCGCTCTATTGAAAAATCCCTCAAAAACAACACTTACCACTTGTATGCATCAGAATTTAATATATTTTTATTATCCTCGTTTTTTAATTTTTTGTAATAAATTTTAAAAATCTAAGCGTCGGAGTCACGTTATGTGTTCCAACATGGATAAGTCTAAGGATTCCTTTAAATAACATTTATATTGTACATAAAATGTTGAATAACACAAGTCGGGACCATTACAAAAAAAATGTTATAATTACGAAATAATTTACTAACATAAACCATACAAAGTAATATTAAGCTTGAACTGTGATGTTGTAAAGACAATAGTCGAATACGGATTCGACCACATAAAGGGTTATCCGCTTTTACCATTGCTGTGTTATTAAATTTAATTATTAATTGTATTTTCAGATGAAAGACTCCTAGAGTATGATATTGATGAAGTATTGTTTGACGAACAGTCGCCCTTCCAAAGAGTGCAGATCGTTCATTCCAAGTCACTTGGCAACATGTTAGTGTTGGACGACTTACAAAGTAAGTAAATAATGTTATCTGCTCTAGAATGTATTGTAAACACCAATAATTGTCACAGATCAGTTATCAACTAGACAAATAGAACTAGGAAATGGTTCGTTATATATTCGTATTTAATTATTAGTCAAAAATTTAAATATTATATTATGCATATTTTAGCTTATAGTATTTTAACGCAATATAAAATGTCAAGGCGTTTATCTAGCGAACTAAAAAACAAGTAATAAAAATTGACCTTTCTGTCTAGAATTTACTATCTCTGTGTGATGTATGGCTGTTTAATCAAAGTTGGCGCTTTTGCTAATTTATGTAAATAAAATGTCGACAAAGTCGTCAGATTGTTCAAATGTTAATTAATGCGATTATTATTTTAGCACATATAAATGTTACCGGGGTTTCCAGTGTGGTAAAACTTGTATTGAAACATGTTTCTCAATTTCAGATATATCTGAAGCTGATCTGATCTACACGGAAACTCTTATGCAGAGGGGACGAGAGAATTATGAAGGAAAGGAAATTGTTATATTGGGTAAACACATTGTTTATATTCATTTTAAAGCTTTTTACTAGCTTTTGCCTGTAACATCTGTAGTTCCTCTGGTGTTGCGGATGTCCATGGGCGTCGTTGACCACCTTGGTGTACACGCCGCTCGTTTGCCCCCTTTTACTATAAAAAAAAAAAGAAAACATCGTCCGCGCAGAATTAGAAAAATACTATAAACAGTTTTAGCGTAGTACCCAAAGTGTCTGATTGATTTGATCAGCAATTAGGTTTATAGATACTTTTATTATAATTATAATATGTATTTTGTACTGTGTTTGATAAATAAATAAGCAGACTGTGTTCTTCCGATGTCTCTATCTGTATTAAATTTCACCGAGATCCAATTGGTCGTTTTAGATTACGTAACAAACATCCTTGCATAAAATTAGGAAAATAAAGGATTTTTGAGATATTTTAATTTCTTCACTTTAATGTTAAATTTGGTTAAGATGAGATGTGTGTGCAGGCGGCGGCGACGGCGCGCTGCTGTACGAGCTGCTGAAGGAGAAGCCGAAGTTCGTGTGGATGTTGGAGATCGACGAGACGGTGATGCGCGCCTGCCACGCGCACCTCCGCGCCATCTGCGGGGACGTGCTCGCCGCGCGCAAGGCCCACAACTACGAGGTGACACGCCCACTCGCAACACTCACCACACTCATACCACTCATACCACTCGCACCATTCATCCCACACCACTCATAACACTAGTATGATTCATACCACTCAACCATTCACACCACTTACTCTACGCGCAGCACTCACTCCACCCGCACCATCCACACCACTCACACGACTCGAACCACTCGCATCAACACCATTCACAGCACTCCTTTCACTCACCCCGCTCACTCTGTATAATGTATATTTTACATTTTAATTGTATTTTTTGTTTATTAATTAGACAAAAGTTATTAAACTATTACAGTCAAATAAGGATACCTAGCCTAGTGAGAGAGTTTAAAATTTACGTGGATATAGGAATTGTCAAAGAGCGCTAGTTTAGTTCCATTTATTCCCGTCTGGTCAGATAACTTGTTTATTATGATAAAGATTTTAAATAAAATTTACATTCAAATTCGTGTAATCTAATATTATAAAAAGAAAAGATTTGTATTTTACTATGTATTGAAATTAATAAAAAAGTACTGGATCGGTTTCATTTAATTCATCATTAAAAAGCTATGTTATCAGTGAGTAACATAGGCTGTATTTTTTTTTAAACACACGGGCGAAATCGCGTGCAACAGCTAGTGTGTCTATCATATAATAAGGTCTCCTGTTATACAGATTATAGTGGAAGACTGCATGCTGACGGTGAATAAATTCATCAAGGAGAACAAGAAGGTGGACTATATATTCGGCGACCTGACCGACATCCCGATATCGGAGTCGGCGTGCGGCGAGCTGTGGGAGTTCATGACCACCATACTGCACGCCGCCTTCCAGATACTGCGCCCCAGCGGCAAGTTCATGACGCACGTACGTAGACATTACACGCCCACTATCCACCCACTACTCGCCCACTAAACACCCACTACTCGCCCACTATACACCCACTACTCGCCCACTATACACCCACTACTCGCCCACTATACACCCACTACTCGCCCTCTATACACCCACTACTCGCCCACTATACACCCACTACTCGCCCTCTATACACCTACTATGCACCCCGCACAGGAATGCCCTAACACTACATTCAAATAAGCTATGTTGTCCTGCTCTAACAATGTTTTGAACAGTTACTCTCCCTCCGGCCTTAATAATGCCATTTCCTTACTAAATCCGTGTTTCTAAATCAATCGTGTGTGAAATATATTCTGTCTTTCTTTTTTCTAATTCTAGTGTGTGTGAAATAAAAGTTTATAAAATAAGGTTTTCAAATAGACCGAATTGAATTATCCGTATTAGTTTTCGAAAGTGAATAAACTTGATTTCAACATGGATATGACGCCAAATTGGACTAATTTTTTGATTTACTTTAATAAAACATATCTATAGATTTTTAATATAACGTGATTAAGTAGCGAAAGTCATTAAAAAGCGTCTTTCTCGCCAAATTCTAAAACGCAACGCTATTAGTCGAAGCAAGTGATAGATAGATTTAATCACTTTTTCATTGGTAACTCTGAGAACCAATCAAATCCTTTGTTGTTGAATACGTCACAACACTCTACCACACCGGCCGCGTTTAAGTCGCACAAAATTTACTGTAATTTTATTTTATTTGTTAAGCTCAATGGGTTTTTTTGGATATCATTTTTTTTCTTGTTATCTCATACCAAGTAGAAACGTTTAAAAAAAGGAAATGAAACACGTGCATATTCCCTATTTATTAAAACTCAATTTTGTATGCGACCCTAATAATTTTATTCAAGAGTTTATGAAATTTGAAAAAACATATTTTTATAGGGTAATGGAGCAACATCACGTAAATCATTGGAACTATACGAGCAAGAGTTGGAGAAACTAAAGCCACCGGTGGCATTCACAAAGAGCAAGGCCTTCGTACCCTCGTTCCTGGAGGACTGGATCTTCTACCAGATATCATTCAAATCTACTGACAATGGGGATGCTTAACACGAAACGTAACAAATGTTCCTCCATAGTATTTACACTAAGTCATACAAATATAGTTGATACTTTAGTATTATTAATTGTAAAGAAGTGTTTGAGACATTTTGTGTACAGTCAGCTCCATAATATGCATACATTTACAAAAGAAAATTGTATACTTTTTCAGTTTTCACATTTAAAATTGTATAAGTATTCTTCATTATCCATATCTTTTTTTTCTGCAAATTAAAAAACTGTATGGATTCCTAAGATTTTGTAAATTAATAAATATTTATGCAGCTGAATGTACTTTTCCGCTGAAAGTTTACAAGGACATTGAAATTTAATCACTCACAAGCCAATGTAAGGTTTACCTCCATAACTTTAATGTAACAAACATTTGTATGTTGGATCAAATATATGTATGTTGGATCAAATATATGTATGTTGGATCAAATATATGTATGTTGGATCAAACAATTGTGCGTTGGATCAAACATTTGTCAATTCGTGACATACCACTTGGTGGATTTTCTTGTGGACAGTACAATTTTTAACGCAATTGTAAAATATAGGAATAAAAGTAGACCAGTGATTTTTGTATTAGTTTTAATTGATTTTTTGTTGAAACTTTTATTTGTAATTTTCATTTGTTCATTTTTTTGTTTTACCAATAAAAGTATTTTACCATGTATGATGTTTTATTATCTAATCCTAATAGAGTAAAAAACAAATTCAAAAAATTTCATGCATAAATAAAAAGATGTATAAAGAAACAATGTTATTTAAACTTTAAATATATTTTATTTAAGTTATCATTTACTTAACAGAAAATTCATAAGATTGCATTAAAGCAGAGTTTAATACAGATTCAATTTCCACTTTTCATGAAGATTTCAATTGGTGGTACAATATTTATGAATACTAACAATGTTTTAACAATAAATGTATTTAACCAAAAGCAATAATTAAGAGAGCGTCGGTGGCTCAGTGGTTTAAGCACTTGACTTGTAATCTACAGGTCTTGGGTTCGAATCCCGCCGCCATGTACCAATGTGATTTTCGATTTTTCGAATTTTCATATGTACATAATTTACCCGACGTTCTTACGGTGAAGGAAAACATCGTGATGCAACCTGCACATATCGGCGAAGAAATTCAAAGATATGTGTGAAGTCAACCAACCCGCACTTGGCCAGCGTGGTTGACTATGGCCTAGTCACCCTAACTTTAGGGTAGGCTCCGAGCCCCTCGGTGGGGACGTATAGTGAGCTGGTGATGATGATGAATAATTAAGAAAGTATTGTTTTTTTCTTTTAGACTTTCTTTACAAGTTAAATGTTATTCCAATGCATTCCATTCTAATTGTTACAAAAGTTGAACAAAGTATTAGATATAACGAAATCTACATCAAAATGATTCCAATGTTTTACAAATCTAAAAGCCAGCCTAATGCTATGACAATAACATTGTCTAAACACCTGTATAAATGTGTTACTTTTATCAAACTCTTTAAAAAAAAAACAGAGAAAATGTTACAGTACAGACATATGCCAAAGGAAACAATATATAGCCTAACCACAAATACAAAAATCCTAACATGAACATGTCAAAGTCCATTGAATGGACTTCTTTATTACATCACCCAATGAACGCCAAGAATTTAGTTCCATAATTTTCTGCAATTTAGGCTTTTTATATTCTAGGTTAGATTATTCAAAACATCCTTTGACAGTTGGTAATAAAAAAATAACGCACATTTCTTTCAATACTTCAATAAACCATCACAATATATAGCATGTTTTAAAAATCTTAACATAACTAAGTTTCTGTACATTTTAAGTTATTCCGTTTGTCGTAACCGAGCCAGTCTTTGTGTCAACTCGTCCTGTTCCTGCGACACCACTGTGGTTGTGCCTATCGATGTGCTCGGCACACCTGATGGCAGTTCCATGTTCAGTTCCAATCTAAAACAAACATAGAAATAATGTAACAATAAAGTTAAACAAGATTTATATACTAATTATGAAAACCTAAAACTTGAACACATTTTGTTGTAAGTTTAGTGTGAGAAATTTAGAAAAAAGTAACAGATACCAGTAAGAAAGTTACAAAAAAATTAAAGTAATGTAAAAAACTGACAAAGAATGGCTAAACTCATGTATGATCATCTAATGACCGCACCAACTATTTTTATTATGTTTTAATTTGACAAAAGTATAAATAATTTAACTGTGCTTAATAGATTACAGAAAGGATAAATCAGAAGCACAAAAATAAAATTTGAAAAAAATAGACATATCAAAATGTTGTTACATACCCAGCTTCATCTGCTACTTCTTGCAACAATTTGTCCACATCACCCTGTGGTACTGTAATTGTGGTAGTTTGTGACATAGCATTCTCCATGTACGAAGACTGGACATCTAGATCTTCAAACTGACTTTCAAACTTGTCCATTAGAGTGGATATCTTCTCAAGATTCATAGATTTCATTGCAGCATCCATTGCTTTAACCACACCGGCCATAGAATTTGTTACCTGTAAATTGTTTAAAACAAATCTGAAGTTTGTAGTAAACTGTACTTTGTCTATATGACTAAATACATTATGATTGTGACTACACAACTCTGTAGTTGTAAAGCAAAGTTAATAAATAAAATTAGAACATTTGACTATGGTTATGTTCAATATTGTCAAGGATGTCAATAATTATCAGTGTATATAACTATTTCAGACTGTATTATGTATCTGCATTGTTTGCATTAAATACCTTTCTTGTTGTAAGAGCGGTCTGCACTCTACTGGAGACAGCATCTACCCGTGCGGACATCCGAAGGTAATTCAGGGCCTGATTTTTTTGTCGTATTGCATTCTCTGCGTGTATTCGTGCACCTTCTGTATTACCCTTCTGTATCGCCTTTTTAGCTTTCTCCTTTTCAAGTTTCTCTTCTTTTTCACATTTCTTTGAATTTCGTTCTAATTCTTTGACCGCAAATTTTAAATTAAATAGATGTTCTGATTTTAGTGAGTTAAGAAACACAAATTGCATGGATTATTACAGCAAAATAAATACAACCTAATCATGCTAACGCTAAAGGCTAGTTTGTAATTTAGTTTTTCAATCATTAAATACATAAATCAGACATCATATAAACTTACCTATTAACTGTTTTCTTCCTTGGTTATTAAAAGGACTGAAAAACATGGAAAACAAAGAAACCAAAGTAATTTTAAAAAGGATACTTTCCATTGCGGACGATGACATTTCGTTCCCCAGCTTGACGGTTTATAGAAACTAGTATAAAAAAATAGGCGAAGCCTTTTAAGTCTCCGTGAATGGCTTCGTTAAGATATTAACGTTTTAGATCGGGAATTAAGAAAACTTTGCTGAGATGAGTCACAACTTAATCACAAATAAATCCGATTCCTTGACAATATAAATGTCAAGTTATAGTTATGACAAATGACAACTGTCAAAAAAACAACAATCCGCCACGCCCTCTATTTTAACATTATCATTTAAAACATAGGTTTTGGTCGGAATGACAGTGGGAAAAACGGGATTTTTCATAAAATTGAATGTGATACTATACAGGTTGGAACCTAGAAGATGTGATTGGAATCCTCATACAAAATTATCTTTTTACTATTTACATCAAGTGATACTACATTACCGTTCATATTCGATATAGTTCTTCAACCTCATCTGTTTAAATTGATTTTAAAACACAGTATTTGTCTATGATTTAGTTCTGTATGTTGGTATCCAAGGTTGTTGCTTGTTGCCTATGTTGGTATAATGTTTTGTAATAACAAAACTGTCAAAATTGTAAAGTCACAAAAGTCGGATTGCGGATTTGGAAGTAAGAGAAGTTGCTGCACAGAAATCTAAGATTTTTTTAGAAATCATTTAAGATAATTTAAAGTTGAACTTAGTATACGAATTGTAGTGTTAATTTTCTTTAAGTTTTGATAATATTTATAATTTTTACTTCGTTTGTGAGTAAAGTATCTCGACCGAATTAAGTATTAGGTACAGACGTTCGTTGGGCGTAAAAAGAAAATGGCGTGCGCTACTCTCAAAAGAAATTTGGAATGGGATTCAATGGCGCAAACGCCTGCGAAACGAAGATGTGTCCCGTTTGCTACATCTAGTAATAGTCCGGGAATAAAGCTGACGGAAAACAAACACTCTGCATTCGGTGAAACAGTTACTGCTCCTGCAAAATTGACCCCAGGTTTGTTTATTTTTGTCTAAGCTGTTCAAGTTACTTCACTCGTTCTACAGCAATTTGATTAATTTTGATGGAGCTAGGTATCTCATAGAATTTTGTGCAAGTAATATGTAATTATCGCCATTGTTTCTTGTAGTATTTATCAGAAATATTTTTATCGTGTGTGAGAGAGACAACAGATGCGCAATGACCGTTGGGCGTATTGGCTTTGTTATTTTTTCTATTTAACGTAAAAAAACAACAAAGGCCAAGCTTTTGCTCAGTTACAGCTTGCGTACTTTCCTTCCTAAAGTTTTTTTTTGCAAACCATCGGCTGTAGCTACAAAAGAGACAAGTTCGTGGGTACTCTGTCAGAAAATTGATGAGACTGCTATTTATTACAACTATTTTCTAGTTACTATATAATAAAGTTTATGCGAAATTAAAGAGCTAATTAATTGTAATGACAAATAAAAATATTTTTTTGTAAATGCCAGTATAGTTATTATAAAAAACATATAATATCTGTTTTTTTACTAATGTAGCTAATTCCTTATGTTCTTACTATTATAATTATTATTGATTATTATTTACTTGATTGACATCAGTAATAATGTATACTTAATTGTTTGTACATCTCCATTTAAGGAATCTCTGGTAATTTCTATGAAAGCAGCACCATTTTTTAACAGTGGTAGAGCCCGCTTTAACATCTTCGCACGAATTGGCCGGCTCGCCCGGTGCAATACCACGACCACACAGAAAACAGGCGTGAAGTGGAAGTAATTCCGCGTTTCGTCTGATGAGTGTGGTGCCGGAGGCCTAATTTTAGTCCCTTTCCCTTTCCACCTTTTTCTTAAGAGGAAAGGATGGAATGGAAAAGTGGATTTGATGGTGGAGGAGACGCATAGGAAGGGGAAATGTCCTCTTTGTGTGCGTCTCCTCCTCCGTCAATTAAGGATAGGCAACGCATCTACAATTGCGGATGTTTATGGGCAACGGTCGCTTTCCATTTCGGTGGGTTGAGGTGGCCGCTTGCTCGTTTGCCATCTTATATTATAAAAAAAAAAAAAAACCATTTCTTCCATATAATCCATTTTGTAATGACCACATGGTACTTAAATATTGGTAATCAACCTAAATTGAGGCAATAATTTAAAACATTAACTTATATGTATAAAGTAGCTAATATTTATAAAATCTTAACTTTATATTTTCAGATATCATATTTTGATATTGTTTTATATACAAACATGACTATAACTTTTGCTAATAATTATCAGTAATACAAATTACAATAAAACATTTATAATATAGTTCCTCAGTGCAGCATTATTATACTAATACTACAGTATATATGTCTCTAGATGAGTTTAAATAGATAACAATCGGCATCTTTAATTAGTTACTAATTAAAATGTTAAATTCATGAAAAATCTTCACTTAGTGACTATTTAAGTGACTAACATTGTGAGACAAAGATTGGTACAATACAGCAAATGCCTTACAGACTGTTTATTAATAATCAATGAAGGATTTTAAGCCGATTCCTTGAATTGTTACAATTGTCTTTACAATCTGAGGCAATGAAATAATTTGCGTAATGATGTCGAAGTATTGTCTGTTCTAGGTTAAAATAATTATAGTGAATATAAATTAGTGGAAGTAATGAAAGCCTTAGTTTTAATAGAGACTTCACTAATGAAGTCATTTTTAATGTTTAAAATTATATTTACAATTTGTTTTGATAATACTAGATTTCTGTTTTCCTTTCTCAATTAACCTGGTAATAACAAAAATATTACAACAGAAAATTATGTATGTTGACAAATTACTGTAGATAACTTTTAAGGTCCCAAGAAGTGGTTCAGCTTATCTATACTGGGTTGTTTTTTTTTATTAACAATAAAAATCTATAGCATTATCTGTTGCAGATAATGATCATATTTATGAATGAGTTTTTTCTCATTCCATTCTTAGAAAACCACAATTAAATTCCCCTATTTCAGTATTCAATGTTTCAATTTGTTATAAATTTAAGCATTATTTAAAGGTCAAGTAAGTATCTTCATTACCTGGCTTTTTTTTCTAGTGATTTAAAAAAGAACCCTGTATATCAAGGATAGGTTTTTTTTAACCTTCTTTGATGCAAAGTCACTAAACAGTCCTCCACTCGCATCCTTTTGCGCCACCACCTGCACAAAAATTTGAAAGTAATAAATGAAATAAGGTGTATGTATTATGTCGTCAGAGCGCATGGTGCAGGAGATATGCGACGAGATAATGCGTCTGCGGCGGCGGAGCCAGCTGCGACTGGCCGAGGGCGCCGCGGGCTCCTCCTCCAGCGGCAGCGAGGGCGACTCGTCCCCACCGAGACACGCTGCACACGCGCGCGCTCCGCACAAGGTTCACAAGCCATACAAGATGCACAAGCGTGTGCTCTTCACATTTGATCAGGTATGCCACAAACTTATTACAATAAAACAAAAATGTAAGAATTATATAATTGGGGATGAGTTGTTGACTGTTTTACGTCAAAGAAACAAAACTGTTTAAGGGACTTTGTCACAGCATCCATATAAGTCTACTAATCAATCAAACACCTTTTAATTTAAATTATTCCTCAAACAAACAAATGTAAGCCAAATTAAACACCAACCTGGCATTGTCCATAGGTAAGTCGGAATAAACCATGAATTTGATTTTTAATTACTCAATGTACTAGTTTCTTTTGCCAACAAGTAAATTGTTCATTCAAAAAATATATCTGACTACTAAATTTATGTTAAATTCAATTAGTTAAATGGAAAACCTGTGTATAATAAGATTAAAGAAGAGTGTGTGTCTCAGGTGCGCATGATCTGCGAGCGGTTGCTGCGCGAGCAGGAGGCTGGGCTGCGGGCGGAGTACGACTCTGCGCTCAACAACAAGCTCTCGGAGCAGTACGAGTCCTTTGTGCGCTTCAACCTGGACCAGGTAAGTGTCTTCTATTGTTGGTAATGTGTGATTGCAGACAACACACAACACACATACTTGATACAAGCCATGATCTAAACCTAAATCTGTTATTAGTCAAATAGTAATTATAAAAAACAAAGGCAAAAAACTGTGATATTATTGTAATCGTAAGCTAGTATTAAAGAATTTGTGACGTTATGCGAAAAAACTTTTAAATAAACAAAATAAAAGTGCCACCCGCACCCAACGTCCCTTTGCCACAAATATGGAAGGGGGAACGAGAGGGCGGCAGAGCGCCGCTCATTAAAAAAAACCTTAATTTGTCTAAATATCAGCCGTCATATTGATTCACTCCCTTAAGCATGTCTCTTACAATCCACACCTACTTTCTTTGGTTTTCCTCTACTTTTACCCAACCACATTAAATCTTAATGCTTTCTTGTTTATGTCATCATCTCATTTATGGTAAAAATGTAATTGCAGGTGCAGCGCCGCCCCCCACCCGCCACGTGCATGCCCCTGGGCGTGGACGCGGAGCACCACATGCATCAGGACCTAGTTCCTAGCTGTAAGTATTCATACACTATTCAAATAAACACTAACTTTGTTATGTAAAATATCAGCAATCACAGCATATTTTGGTTTCTCTTTTTAATATAAAACCTGTGATATAACACTTAAGTCTATATGTTTTCACATTATTAAACTTAAGGGTGGAGTTTATTATATAAAATCATTTTGCTAGAAAGAGACAAAAACTACATATCAATAGCAACAAAATAGCAAGGTTGCCATGGTTACTTAAATTCTCAGCTAATGACAACAGCCTTTGTTATTTAAGCATTTACATTTTGATATCTGCAATTAAAAGTTTCATAGAATGTAAGCAATAAAATAAAGTTTTTATGATATGCTGATGAAGCTCGTACTACATAATGCTAACAAAAAATGTTTATATCAATAAAATTGTTTATATTGATAACCTGTTTGTCCTCAGATCTGTCCTAATAACGGAGGAGCCAGTCGTTGGACGTGACACTGCAGATATATCAAGATAAACATATTTTGGTATATTACATAACATTATATGCTGGAATATAATGTGACCTAATGATTGAAGACATTGTGACTGCTGAGGGAGCTAGCCGACACCAATATTGTGCCCGTTGCAATAACCTTGTAATGCAGTATTAAGATTCATTTTGCTACAATAATATAATTCTCCCAGCGCGGGTATGATATTGTTACGGCTAGTTTCCACAATAATCATGCCACATAAACATAAATTAGCTTATAATGCTTTAGATAAGATTCGCTGGATAATTGTGTTCATGGAGTGAGTGAGGCGCTGCCCCTGCGCCTGCGCCTGCCTGCGCCTGCGCAGACTAAATGTTTTATGTAAGACGACGTCAAACCCGACTGTTTGTTTTTGTATATTTTCTAAAGAATATGATAATATGTAGAGAATTAGAGATAAAACAAAAGGATAAAATTCACACAGAGTGCCTGCTAAGATTACATCCTCATGAGTTGAAAGTTAGCCATAATTTCGATTCGTTTAATCTTTTTTTTTTAGTTACTTTTAGTGTTATCGAAATATAGATGTAGTTTTAAATTATACTATGTTTACTGAATAATGTACGCAATTACGCGACCCGGCTTATTCATCTCGCGACATGATTTACAATGAGACAACCTGATTCCAGGAACGTCGACTCTTGTGGCGATTATGCTCCAAAATTACGGATGTTTCCCGTTAGGCTTATCGCCTAATGGGAAAAAACCCAATGTGCCGAACGACCCAACGGGAAACATCCATAATCAACAGTTTGTCTCACATGTCAGTGGTAGTTGTAACTTTTATGACAATGGGCCTCTTGTATCAGAAAAAACTACAAATATTTATATCACGGCTTTCCTAAATTATCTTAAATTCTAAATTAACTCAACTGATACATTAAGGCTTTAGTAAATGTTTATTAATTAGCTTTATTTAATTTTCTAAGTTATTGTCGGTAATATTGTTTGGTGGTTCTCCCACACAAGTGCTACTGCATAGTTTTTTGTTTTCCAAAATTTGGTTTTCTTTTTTATTATGACCAGGTATAATTTGTTACCAAGCGTTTAAAATAGAATAGATCTTTTCTTTTAAATTGTATTATCAGCTCATCTTATTATATAGGTTATTGGCGTTTAAGAACTGAAAATAAATTAGCTAAACAACCATAACTATGACTTTTTTTTTTAATATTACCAGACATCAAAATGTGTTTTTTTATAATGTTTTCAGGTAGGGTATGAGATTCTCATCCAGCTTGGAAAAAAAACCACTTGATATACATAGCGTTGTTACAAAGTAATCTCTCTGGTTGTCTGATATGAACTAAAGTTAGATAATTGTTTAAAAAATGCCGCTTTTGTTTCTTAAAACAAATTCTCCCACAAGGGTTGCTAATATTATAAATGAGAACGTTTGTATAACATACAGCTCAACGGTAACACAAAGACTACTAAATAAATAAAATAAAATGCCTTTTATTTCAACCATTTCCAACATTAAATATAACGTGTTTGATTACAAATAATACTCGCGAATTCGTCCCTGTGAAATAATAAAAGTAATGTGAAACACAGCCTATATTACTCACTGATAGCTTCTTAATGGTGAAAGAATTTTTAAAATTGGCCCAGTAGTTTTTGAGTTTTTTCAATAGAGACAAAAATTCAAATCTTTCCAATTTATAATATTGGTATAGATAATAAAAAAATATATAAGACTAGCTGTTGCTTGCGACCTCGCCGGCGAAAAGTGTGTGTTACATACAGATTAATGACGTATAACGGTGAAAGAATTTTTAAAATCGGCCTAGTAGTTTGTGAGTTATTTCCAATACATACAAAAATGCAAATATTGCCGCTTTATAATATTAATATAGATGGGTAAATAATCATCCATTTTTTTATTATAATAATTAAATGGTATAAAAATAAATTTTTAACTGGCAACATTAGATTCCAGTCATTTCTGAAACCACAGACAGATCGAAAATTGTGTATGTTTGTGATATTCTCAAGTACTTGTTACAAACATTTTCCAATAAAAATCGAACAAAAATGAGCTTTGAAAATTCTACAAACAATGGAAATAATCAAGAAGAACATAAGCATGGAAAACCAGAGGGTTATCAAATATCGAGGACAGACATGAATATGTTGATAATGAATTATTTAGTAACAGGTGACGTTCTTTTGTGTTTTATTTTCTTGTTCATTTCTAGAAATGATATAATGTGCTTAAAATAATATCATAAGGCAGCAAGTATTAATTTAATATTGTCAAATCATTGCGAAACTGTAAGTAAATTAATTCACGACAAGAAGTCATTGTCATAGTAACATCAAGATTTCTAATATGTGTCCAAAAGTTTACTACTTTTGGCGTAGACTTAGACTAGCTTTTTAACTAATAATAATAATGTGTACATAGTAATTAAGTTTATTGATTAACGGTCCACACAAACATGTAGGTTCGTATACAATTTATAATTGAGACACAAATTAAACATACATAAATACTAGGTGTCGACCACCTTCAATAAAAAAAAATTGTAGCCTATCTGCTCTTCTATACTATATTCAATTTATCTAATAAATTTCAGAGATCTGTTCTAGAGATACCTTCTAATAATCATGCATCTAGACTTTCCTATTTTTAGCATTAATGAGATTGTTCATTGTTGAATGGTAAACCCTGAGTTATCATTTAAAAATATGAATGCTTTCTTGAAAGTTATCCTTAATGTATAAGACTGCACCCTGAATAATGAACAACAAATTGGCATAGTTTAAAGACCAAATTTTTTTACAGAGGGTTTTAAAGAGGCAGCTTTAAAGTTTCAACAGGAGGCAGGGCTGCAGGAGCCTGCACTCTGCAGTTCTTTAGATGAGCGGATAATGATCAGAGAAGCGGTGCAGAATGGCCGCATCTCTGAAGCCATTGCAATGGTCAATTCCCTGCATCCTGAATTATTGGACAATGATAGATTTCTCTACTTCCACTTGCAAGTATGTTGTTGTTTTTATATTTCAGCTTACAAGCAGTGAAAAGCGGTTTAATTTAGAGTTTACATATTTTTTTATGTAATGTTGGCAGATTTTTGGTAATTTACTAACATTTCACATAAGCTTGAACAATATGTTTCACAAATGAAATGGTGGAATTATTACCCCTTACCGTTAGATCATTAGTCCCTTAGGTTATTAGACTATTAGGGTATCATTGTTACATTCGGACAATTAGAATAATGGACTTTACGTATTTTATGTTTGTTGTATGTTTTGATGTTTTTAGCAACTGCAACTGTTAGAACTGATACGTGCAGGCCGCGCGGAAGAGGCACTGTCGTTCGCAAGTGCAACGTTAGCTGAGGCGGGCGCTAACGACCGCGCTGCCCTCGCTGAATTAGAGCGCTCATTGGCTCTCCTTGCTTTCCCTGACCCGCATTCCTCACCCTTCGCTGACCTACTCCTTCCCGCACATGGACAAAAGGTAAAGATTTCGTTACTGACTTTCTAAAATAGTAAAATGATTGCTTCCTAAAGATATCCAAATTGTTGGTGCTTTGACTACTTGTAATGGACGGATGAGAGGAGAAAAGGAACAGGGTGTTTACCTTTCCTATACATCAATAACCATAGATCCTTTACTGTGTTATAACTAAAAAAAACAGTCTTATGTCAGAAATAGAGTTATTTATCTTTTATTTTTTCTATTAAACAGATTGCAAGTGAATTAAATGCAGCAATATTAAAAATGGAAAATCAAGAGTACACAAATCCAAAGCTATGCAGTCTCCTGCGCATGATCCTCTGGTCGCAGAGTGAGCTTGACAAACACAATGTCAAATATCCCAAGATGACTGATTTAGCCAATGCTACTATAGAGCAGCCAAAGTGAATGTTAAACTGTTAGCCAATAAATATCAATAGGAGTGTATTTAATCCGATTTCTATAGACATTCTTGTGATGTAAATCTAAATATTTTAGTTGATACAAAATATAGTTGCGCTAAAGAATTGATTTGATGGTTGTATTCACCTTAATAAGTGAGTAAAGAACTGTGGTCAAGTAAACAACAAGCAACTATTATATTATGAAGATTAAACAGAATATGCATCTAAGAAATCATTAGTATTGGATTTTGTTTTGTTTATAGATGTTTCTTTTTTATATTAGTGATAGTTTAGTGAAAAATGTTTAAGAATCCTTAAGTACTATAATTTTTTTTAATTAAATTAACAATTTTTATAATACTATCAATGACAAGTTTTGGGAATTAAAAATAATGCGATAGACATGTAAAAATATTACGAATTATCGGATGTTAAATTTTTGCATGTCAGAGGTCAGGGGTCACCAACTGAAATATTGTTTTTGTACAAAACCATGTTTCTATAATCTTAAATAAAAACAAATATATCATTAAATATTATTCTCTTCATATTTAATAGTAATTTCTTTGGGATAACATGTTTGGAGATATCTCAAGTATATATTTTTAGAGAGTTTAGATCTGGGATGCCCTTCGGGAAAGATTAACGTAGTTTTTATCTTAGTGTTATAAATTTTAAACATTGTTTTATATGAAGTGGGATATGTTTTTTTATGTTCATACTTTTACTAATTCCTTGAAAATATAAAATATTAATGTAATGAAATTGATTTGGTTATTTGTTCTTCTGTATAAAAGCAAATTTATTTAATCAGTAGTTCACATATTGATAAATCTTTTTCATTTTCGACTTTTCGTTTACAATGACTTAATATATGTTTAAGATAATGAGTGTGTGTTTTTTTTATATCAGAAGATGGAACTATCAAGTAGCCACCTGAATTCGTCAAAATAGCAGTCATATTTGCCCATAGATTTACAAAGGCTGATGCGCTGCCTACCTTTATTCAAGAGAGGATGAACAGTAAGAGGATATCTCCCCTTCCACTTTCCCTTCACATACTTAAATTATATAATAAAAATAAAAAGACAGATAAAACCTTAATACATAATTTATCTTCATATAGCTGTTTTTACATATTGAAGTTACATCAGTATAGATTACTTAAATAAAACAAGGAATTGTTCCTGCTAAATCTGGTATAACATGTCATTAAAAATATTTAAACTTGCTTGAGACATAAAGTACACTAAATTGGCCTGTGAGTGTTGCCATTTTCTAATAATTTTACATGTCATTTACTTACATTACTTTACCATCAGTTCAATTTTGTCCAGAAATAAGTCGGATTTATAGTCATTTTCTTATGCAAGAGATTTAATTAAACCTGAAGTGTCGGAATGTATTTAGGAAATGTGTCACCATCCTAATACATAGTCAAGGGCTTTGGCAATGATTCCATTGGATCTCTGCGGGAGTGGGGCCGACGCAACAGGTGTTGGGCACAGAGACCTTACTGTTGGGTGCCTGAGGATACAATTTATTAAAAGTAAATCACTTTAAGCAGTGTAAAGTTTATGATTATATTTTTTAAATGTGTCTTATTCAATTGTTTACAAGTATCTGTATCAATCATCAACTCACATATCAAGTACCAAGATGTTTTCCTTGACCAAAGGAATGTCAAATGTACAAATGAAGTTAAAAATACATATTGTTACATGGTGGGAATCGAACCCAGAACCTGGATATCATAAGTGCTTAACTCCTGAGCCACTGACATTCTTTGAATTTGTATAACCAATGTTAAATGTAGAAATTGTACACTTTTTTGTATAAACTACAGACTAAAGTTTACCTTTCAGGTGAGGTTATTCCAGGATGTGTTATACCCATCCTGGGAGGTTCCTTACATTCAATGACTCCAACCATTACACCAGGTATCACTTGTCTACCATTTAATGCTAGAGCCCGTTCTTTCTCTGCTCGAGTTGCATATCGGACATTGGCCCAGTTACCTTGTGTTGGATATTGCTTATCTGGTACAAAATAAGTATCATTAGTATAGTTGCAGTTTTGTGTAAGGTATAATATTAATGAAAATAGTACTCATCTTGGCATGTGAACTTTTTAGAAAGAAATACATTGATCTAATTAATAAATGATTTAAATTCTTACCTAAAATGGCACCACAATTACTAAATCTCGCCAGCACAGTGTTGGCAGCATTTGGTGGGAATCCAAAAACAGTTATCCAATATTCATCTTGTTCTTGACATCCATCTTGCCAGTGGGATGTGATGGACTGATTGTTCATTGACATGTTGCCATATGAATTCTGCATCATTGAACCATTGTTTCCATAGGCAAGGAAACTATCTTGATATATTGACTTATTAGGTTCATTGCTTTTTATAGTATCAAAAAGGTCCTCTATAGGTGGACCATTAGGTTTGCTTGAGTAAGACATGTTAGGTGAATTGGGAATGTTTGCAAACACATTCTGCTGATTGTACAGAGCTTGCTGATGCATCGAGACATTTGATCTGTACATTTTTTGATCAGGTGTCGAAGTCTGGCTTGGGCTTGTGGGTGACCCTGAAACATATTTCAATTAAACCTCCACATTCCAAATGTTTTTGATATTAAAAATGGTAGAAATATAATAGAATCATCACGCTTCGAGGAAATTTTTCTTCCCTTGCCCTTCTACTTACTGATTGCTTAAAAGCTTAAAACCGGTGGTAGTGTATGTCAGATACTTACCAAAAGCCATGTTACGACCCTTCGTCGGTGATAGGCTATTAGTTCTTGGCGTCGTCGGTGGATTTATTTCCCCCAACAGAAAAGGTGGTAGATATCCTACATTCGGACTTCCCGAAGGGGAGTGAGTCGGGCTTCCTAAAGTCATTGGTTCCATTGTAGGATTTATAGTTAACTTTTATCGTAAAACTGTTTTAGTTTAATGATTTAATAACAACATTAGGAACACACTAAAACAGAAAACAATAAATTCCAAGTTGTAACCGTTTCGGCCACCTTAAAATTTGATTGACAATTGACAGTTGACAGTGACGGAAAATTACATTTTTTTCTCAGACTTCATACTTAAGAAGAAATATTTTTCTTATAGAAAAACCTATAATATATTTTTCGATAAATTCATAGTCTGTATAATCTTATCTTGAGGAAAAGTATCCCTTATCCTAATACAAAATTCCGTTCCCCACCACAAAACTCCAAAATTAAGCTAAACTAAAATATAAAAGTATAGTAAATGTAACTTCATTTATACCTATCATGTTTACTGTTTTCAAATATATGTCATCACCAAGTCATCACCATTGTTCAACAGTCACATTGATTGATCCGTATTTTATCCATTTATTCATTAAACTGTATATTTTGTTTTTGGTTGAAAATCATGGTGTAATCAATGTGCCACTGTGTTTGATAGTTAAATATTCGGCTAGCTTGCTAATATTCTGTAAATGTATAACTACATTTATGGTTTGGATGTATTAGACAATTTTACTTTCAAATATAAATTCCGAATGTACCTATAGACAAAAAGTATGAAGTTTATTTTTATTTTTCAATTGTAAAAGCTGTAGTCAACTATTGGCAACATTGACTGTTTTGTCAAAACTGCAGTCAAACAAACGAACATGGATTCTTTGGCTGAAGAATCTGAAAATAATTATCAATTTAACGAAAATGAATGCAACAAATCAAACTGCAATACCTTCAAAAATGTCTCGGAACATAGTAATAATATTGTGCATAAATTATTTAACAGAGAGGTAAGTTACGTTTTCACTAGTCCATGTATTATTTGAGACAGTCGAATAGATTACTTTTTTATTTTTCTCTTTTATTTATACGCCGGTTCTTAAAACCTAGGCCTGGTCATTACCAATTTTACTTATCCTGCAATTATTCTAACATATTGACCTTTATAAAGTAGAGACGCATACAGAATAGTTGAAAATGAATTCTAAAGTCTGCAGATGAAATGTTCATGTTGAATAATTGTTATAATTTACGTTTTTGTTTTTAAGATATATGGGAGCACTTCAAGAAAATCCAATGAAAGAAGTCGTAAAATGTTTGAGAAAATTCCACCGCGGTTACGGTTCTGTCTTATGGATATAGTGCCAATATCATATCTCAGGAAGCATGTTTTTATGGGATTTTCACAATGCGGACAGTTCCTACTAAGTTTTACTTATAGTTGCAACAACCAAGTTTACTTTAGAGAAAGTTCCAAGTTCAAGTAAGTACCAATGTAAAGCTTATGAGATAGTTATCACATAAGATCTAAACTATCAGACCTAAAAATAAAGTTTTTTTTTTATTCTTTATTTCCAAAATATACATACATAAGACACAAGTCATACCCGCCAAACTACTTACATGTTTATCACTTATTTAGTTTATTATTAAGGGATCTCTAAGAGTTTGGTTTAGAATCAAAGCTATTGTATTTATTTTTCTTTCACATATTAAAATGTTTTATGTTCCAAACTATAAATATTTAACTATCTGTCCATTTGACCTACACATTTAAAATAATATTTTGAACACAATGGTGTATACATCTTTTCTAAATTAAGTTATCAAAATCAAACTGGTTTCATAATCTTACTTCTTACTAAGATTATAAATGCGAAAGTTTGGATGGATGGATGTTTGTTAGCGTTTGTAGCCTAAACGCCTGCACAGATCTCCAAAAAATTTGGGACAGGTTTAGGCCATAGTCTGGAAGAACACATAGGCTACTTTTTATCCCGGGAATAGTTACGGTTCCCGTGGGATTCATTAATTTAGTTTTTTAATGTTCACTCGATCATTCTGCAAAGGTTCAACATATCTTATTGAAAGTCTGGAGTACACATGAGATAAGCTTCATCCCAGAGAAATGTCCGGTTCCCGAGGGATACATAGCTTTTTGTAATTTATATAGTTCGTATGTTTTCTAATACCACGCGGACGAAGTCGCGGGCAACAGCTCGTTTTAATATATACCGTTAAAATTTATAACAGAATGATTGGAAAATTTATTATATAATTATATTTCTTTTAGGCTGCATTTTTTATCATGGGTCCCAGGCAAGGTGGTTAGACCTGTTCACAGTGTCCCATTGTTTGGTGATGACTGTGTTGACAGCAAGGTGACAATCTCCATGGCTCAATGGAAACATAACCCAGGAGTACTTGTGGTCTATGGAATAGCGTAAGTATTTGTAAATTTACTCATAGTTACATTGTAGATCTCTATAAAATTAAGTAGAAACCATACTTCATTTTTATATAAAAAGTTTGGATAGTTCTTCAAAATAGGTTAATGGATCTCTATGAAATTTATAATCTGAATGAACAAAACTTGGTCTAAATAGCAAATAGTAAGTTTTTCATTTTGCAATGCAATTTTGTTGTATGAAAATTATTTTATATGTTTTTCAGATTTTCATGCTCAGAAAGATCCTACCTCAGTGTTATAGGTGTACCTCGTCTGGGATGCAAGAAATGTGCAGCATATTCAAAAGAAGAAGGTGAGTTACCTTCGCAATTTAGTTTTTTGACTAATTGTTTAAAATAAAAATGTAACTTAAACTTGTTTTTTTGTTTTCAGATGATTCACATTGGGGGAAAAGATGTTTAGAACACAATTTTGCTATTCACACAAAGTTTTTCTGTACATCTGATTCTAGTATGTACGAACCAGTTGTGCAGCTGGCATATTCAAATCAAATTATAATTTACACAGACTTTATCCATATATTGGAAATAGATTTCGTTGACCCAGATCAAGATCGCACAGAGACAAATGATTATAATAAATTTGCATTAGATAGGGACGAGGCAAACTCAATAGACACAAATCCGAGTACACCTGCCTCAGACGTGTCCGCCGCTTTTCAATCGCCGAAATATCAGAATAATGTTGTGCAGAACATTTTAGCAGATTTTTCGGACCTTGAAGCAGAGCCATATCAGATGTCGCGGCCCATTCATTTGTCAGATATGATGGGACAAGAGCTGTGTATACAGGCATCCTCCATATCACATAATTTAGTCGAGGAGTGGGAAGGACCCTCTCCATCCATCAGAACATTGATTAGTCCACCTCTAAGATCGCCAAGAAGACGACCGGCCGAAAGCATGTCACGTTTTAATGAAACGCACAGAACTATCGCTGAAAAAGCTTACGAATTCGTCGAGGAGACGGATACGAAATGCGAAAAGCTTAGTATATTTCGTAAGAGAAGGTTAGCGGATAAGAAGTACGAATTCTCAGAAGACAACAACGAAAACATCGTCCCTTTTAGAGTGTTAAGGAGTAATAGGAAATACTTTATAGGATCGGCCGGCAAAAGTCAAGCGAAGAGAGCGAAGTCACCTCCGACGGAGAGCGTAGTGCTGAGGGCTCACAATCAGATCAGCAGGCCGACCTCGCCTACCACCAGCTGCGATCTGAAGAATCCCGGACTGTCCGCTCTAGAGTCGGACAGGAACAGCGAGTCGGAGTATAGAGTGATGGAAATGTTGGATGACGGCTCGCTGAAAACGGTCGCGGTGCACGACAACACGTCAAAGACCCTGTCGGACATCCCCGTTAGCCCGCAGGACCCTTACCTCGTGCACTCGGAGAATTCTAAATGTAGCAAATTCTTCACAAGATACTTTGTCGAAAGCGATGATGAGATCACTTCCATTATTACTGATTCTGAAGGTAAGTGACAATTTTAAATACTTTCCAGCACACTCAGAGTGATTTGCGACTTTTTTTAGGTTGATTTAATTTTTTTTATTGTAGAAGATTTTGTTAATTTGTTGTTTTGCTAAATAAAAGTATTTATGTAATATTGTATAGACCAAGGATTAGCATATGAGATGCAGCTCGAGCAGTGGAGGGTAGCTGCAGTGTGTGTGTGTGTGTGTGCAGACGACTGCATGTCGGGGTACCACGTGGCGCTGCACCTGGCGGCGCACGGCGCGCGCTACGCGCCGCTGCAGGCGGTGAGCGCGGGCGCGTGGGAGCGGCTGCCGGCGCGCCGCACGGTGCGCGCCACGCAGCGCTCGCTGGACACGGAGCTGCTCTGCAACGAGGTGTGCGGCCGCCTGTGCCACCTGCGCGGCGTCAAGTTCATCTACTGCTTCGACTGGGGCTGCCACGTCATCGACGTCTGCCACTCCAGCGGCTGCCTCTCCGGGGTACGTACCACCGCGACGCGAACCTACAGCAATTATGTGTACGAGCTGTTCCCGTTCCCTCCGTGCGCATGAAATTATCAAAACTTTACTAAATTGTTTACATTTGTCAAATTATCAATTGAAAATGTCAAGATTCAAACGCACAAATGACAACCACGGCAATCTTGCTTCTTTGATGTTGGTAACTTGTAGTTTATAGTCTCATTCCCACATGTTTTTTCGAATTTGTTTATCCCTAAGCTAAACAGTGTGAAAATATATAATCTAAAACATATCATAAAGGGTGGGGCTATTTATTAAAGAAAGAATTATTAATAAAATACTGTGATTACCAATATCCTACGCCACATGTTAGTGTGTGTTTAGACTTTATTATATTAGTATAGATGTATTGAGTATAGATATAGATAGATATTTCAGTTTATGTGTGCAGCTGTGCGCGATGTGGCTGTGGGCGAGCGCGGAGGGCGGCGGGGGCGCGGAGGGAGCGGCGGGCGAGTGCGACGCCTGCAAGACGGTGAGCGCGGGCTGCCTCTCGCACCGCCGACAGTACGCCGCTGAGGTAACTCTACTGACATACCGTGCCCCTCATGTGTGACAAAATAAATTTATGTAATGTTGCCATGTCTTTTTAGTGTCTATTCGTGTGGGACCTCGTCACCGGCGTGTACAGAACTGAAAGAGTTTCCATGACTGAGGACGACAGCCAAGAGGGATCTAGAGGTAGGTTATTTATCGCAATTAACAAATTATGTTGTTAAAAAAGATTATTGAACCATTATACTTTGCCAATGTTAAGGTAAGACCAGTAAACCCAAAATGTTATGTATTTCAGTGTCTGGTGCGGAGCGCGCGCGCGAGCTGGCCAAGCGGCTCGGGCCCATCAACATGCCGCCCGGCAATGAGAACAGGCTGCTCACCACACTCACCGGTGAGTTCTCTTTCTATTGTTAGGAATAAAATTAGTACCGTGCTATAAAATTGGCGCAACTCTAGATTATCGGCATAAACGTCATGTCCCTAGCTGACAGCTGTCAATGTCACTAGAAGTTTGGATAGATTGGCGCGCATCCTAAGTCTTGACGAGAAGTATTGCTCTGAGTTAAAAGCGACAGTGTCAATTAAATAAGTTGTCTAATACTATATATCACTCATTTAAATTTCTCGCGACATCGCCCGCGAGAAAATTAAAAATAATGCAAAATATAGCCTATGTTACTCACAGATAAATTACCTTTCTTATGGTAAAAGAATTTTTTTAAATCGTCCCAATAGTTTTTGCGTCAATCTGTTACATACAAAAATATAAATCTTTCCTTTTCATAATATTAGTAAAGATTACTATATGTGTTTAAACCTTAAACAATACAGTAATAGAAAATATATAATTATGATCTTCTGTTTTTGTTTTTTTGTAATATTTATAATTTAATTCTTACAGGAAAATCATTGAAAAGGCTGACAGATGTGGACAACTGCATTGAGATAACAAAGAACCATCCGGATAGCTCAGAGTCCGAGTCCTCCTCGGAGGAGGACAGCGACTACGACTGATGACGTCACACGGATACTATGAGTGTTGAACCAGTGTAGTGATCAGTGTTGCTATCAACCAAGCCCACCAAGATACTTACAAGTATTGAATATTCGAATATTATAAGGTAAGTAGGTATGGCTGTGTTGCCGTAATGGAGTTTGCTGACTTGTGAACAGGGTGTCGATCGGTTTCGATATACGTATGAGAAGTAGGCTCAAACATATACACTGTAAGATATTTTACTAGTCCTTGTCTATGTACTCTGTGAAATGTATGATATATGTAATAGTTTATATAAGATGTTTTCTTTTCTGGTTGTTTTAATATGTACTGATATTTTTGTTTCACCTATTTTTCACTGGCAATACTCAACTTGTGGATGTATGATAAATAGTAAATACATGACATTACTTTTGCATGAAGTTAAAATTTAATTACATACGCTTGTATAAAACTATGTTTAAAATAATCTCTAAAATATGATCTATTTGTTCCAACAACTACTTAAACGGTAAATGAAATATGTGAAGATATCAAATTAGCGTATTTTTAAAAGTAGCTGTGTGATTGAAAAGTTATATAAAATTTGATCTTAGTGTCTTACTGAGTAATATTCTTTAGAAAACTATCCATAATTTAATTTAAGTACTTTGTAAATTAATTTCAATGTTCATCACATGTAAACTGCGATAACCCTTAACACTTGCGATATATATTTTTTGTGTTGTATAGTTACTCGGTAACAATGGCCACGAAAGATTGCAATAATAAATGATATTTTTCTTTGTAATTTTCTGTACGTTATTAGATTTTGGGTAAAGTATTAAAAAGATGCATTACACTATATAAGGCATCTCAGTTTTTATGGCAGGGATTCCTTTTCTGTGTCAGGTGCACTTTATAATATTATTTTCAGCAAGGACTATTTAAAAGTGAAAGATATCACAGCAAGTCTTTCACTTCCCCTGCTGTGACTGCAGACGCTGACCGCTAAATTAAAAATTATTGGTCCTATTTTGGCTTTTAAAGATTACTGGTTGGAAACATTGCTTTGTCGTATTGAAATTAAATAAATTTTACTACCCTTTGCATGCTAGATTTAGGTAAAAGACAATATAAACTGTTTACAAATGTTTAATAACTTATGGCCATTTTAGTCTATGGGCCATTGCCTCCCACATCAGAAATATGCTTTTAAGTTATTTGATCTAGAGATGTTTTATTGGTTTTCCTGTATATTTTTTGCATCCATAAATGACAATGGAGATTTTTTTATGTATATGTTGCTTGAACTTGTAGAAAGTTTATTTGGTTTTATATGTTGACATTGATGGTTGTAATTATATCTATGGTTGTGAGTGATGACATGAGTCATCTGATGTATTTGTATTAAATTGGAGAGTAAAATAATTAGTGATTTGTCAATGTGTTGAGAAATAGTGGTTTGTAATTTTTTTTACTGCTCTAAAAATGTGTAATTAATTTTTTGTAAATTGAAAATCTCATAGGTATTTAATGTATTAGAACTATACGAAAAATCATATCTGTGCACATTTAGATTGATACTTACGATTTTAATATTTTTCGAAAGTTTTGAGAGCCAGTCAAAGATGGACACAAAGTTTTTATTAAACACAGTATTCAATAGCAATTGTAAATTTCAGTTATTTCTGATGTAAAGATTTTCAGTAATTTTTAAGGTTTCAAGCAATATTATTTTGTATATATTTTAATTGTCAGCTTTAGTGCTCAATGTATATTTGTGGAAGTTTTCAGCACACTTGTTAGTACGGCCAGCATATGCCATTTACATGTTAACTATTTTATTGTAGATAAATTATTATTACAATGTGATGTAACTTGATATTAACGCATTTAATTGTCGGGTGTTTGTCAGCGTGTAAGCTTGCCATTAAAATATACTTTAAAATATGTAGTTATGACAAAAACATGATGTATCATTATAATCACTAAATAATTATTATTTTTATTAATAATAATTAGATTAATAAATGACGAAAGACGTGATTGTTGTTTCCTTTTATTATCACTATTATTTTTACTTTGTATTGGTATTCATTGATTAAACTCATGCAACCTTGTTATTTGCTAATGGAAAAGTTGGAGACATACCTCTTTGCTGTGTTTTCATTGTTTAAATACATACAATACATATTTTCAACACTCATCGTTGATCATTTAATTATAATTGTTTTCTCCCAAACATGCACAAAATTAGTTTTGCCCTCAAGTGAAAAATTTACATTAGAGAACACTAGCAGATACAAATTAAACTTCACTTTATTTTTAAATAACTTCATTTAACAGCTTAATTTTATTTCTATTGTAGTGGCTAGTAGTTACTTAGGCTTAATATCTTTAAGAGTCTTCCATTAAACACAAGAAGCTATGACAGGGGAGTTCTGAAAAATATCACAAAACATCACAAGATAGGGCTAAAATGAGATATCATAGTAATTATTTTCTGATTTACAACATAAGTTAAATGACTAAGTTATTTTTTTTAACAATATTACTTTGCACAAAAAAATAATGTGATTTTAGACATAAATGGGGGAGGGATAGCCTCAAAACAAATCGCTAATGGAGGATGGTGACCAAAAAGTAGGTAAAAACGTTAAATAATCAATGGACGACTCCTTATTAAATTAACAATGGATCCAGCATTTTAATTATTCATAATCATAGGGTTCTTCAAATGTATTTACACAAATTATAACAAAACTATCATAGTTTCTTAAGTCTTTTTTGACATCACAACTCTAAAAACACAGTTCAATATTTACATAGTATGTGTGGTCACAATGCATCTTCACATTCTGGGTCTTTTTCCATGGTAGTTCGTTGTATGCCTCTCTCGTCCATCAAGCAATCTAAACATAATTTATCAATATCATCCCATGACATTTGCTTAAATTTATCTTCAACTACTCTGACTAACTTCTTTGCAGTATTTGTGGCTTCAGTTTCATTCATGCCTTGTTTTTTAAAGATTTTTTTCGATACTTGGTACAGTCCATCAGGGTTTGACTCTGTTTCTTCAGGGCTTAAAATCGACTCTCTAGGTTTTTTTATTGGTCTCTCAAGATTAGCTGGTACCTCAGGTGTTTTGGCTGATGATTCAGGCTTTTTAGGTGGTTCTGCTGTTCTTATAATTTGTCCTTCCGGTTTTTTAACAACGACATTTATTTTTGATCCGTCTTTGATTGTAGGATATGCTGCGACTGTTTGGTCATCTGCTAGTGTTCTACCAACTAACAGTAACTTTTGCTCTTGTACCGGAATACCTAGGTTTTTAAACACTTGTTCCTTTATTTCGGTTATTGTTGTGGTTGGAAGTATCTGAAATAGTTTAGCAATAGTATAAAATTCAGTAACTATACCGATCTAAATCGTTGTTATATTTACTTACGTCCAAGATGCATTCGCCGCCCTGCAATTTTTTTACAGTAATTCTCATTTTGGTGGTTTCCAATTATACTCTGTGAAGGTATCGATTTTTTCTACTTTTCTACAATTTTCATCAAGTTCTTATATTTCACGTTGTTTAAGTTTACAAAAATTGTAATGACATGACGATGACATTGAGACAAATTGACAATTGACATTGATGTAAAATGGAAGAATACAAGCTTCAATGTTACCATTCTTAATGACGAAAAGCAAAAAGTGGACGAAAAATGATCTTCAGATTAGATTTTAAATCGACAATAATCTCAAATAAATATACGGTTATAAAAGAGCAATAATATCAAAACTTTATTGTGCTAATGTCGTTTATCTTTAGTTTACAATCGTAGAAAAATCCTAGTTTGTCCTATCCTGTTATCGAAGCTCGAAGCAAGCTGTTTGACGTAGACTTATAAATTGGTGTGAATAGACCAATATTTTGTATTGGAATTTTTCTGAATTATACAGATGCCTATTAAAGTTCTCGATAAAAAAAATGTTGAAATAATTGTATGAAATGTATAACAATTTGTCTTTGTGTATAAAATGGATTAAAAAGGTTTTATTTACAAAATGTAAATGGCCATCTAAATTTAAGACACCATCATTACATTTTACAGTTGGATAAAATAATGTCACGTATCTTTTAAGTTTTCATAAATAAATTAATTACCTAGGAGATAAATACTGTGCTATCATTTCAATTAATCCGAAAATTTTGTCACCCAAACAAATTTTTAATACTTTACGAAATACAATGGAAAACAAAATTGAATATGGTACTTTGGGCAATCCCGTGATAATATTCGAAGCTGATGACATAGAAGGTGATGGTTGGTTACATAGTTTACACAGTAATTATAAAATCTAGTTTTTCCTAATTAATGATAACGGACTAAGCTAATAAGACTCATTTTACTTTATTGTAAGATAGAAGTGTGTGGCCAACAGTGCAGAATTAATTGCGTAAAAGCCAAATTATTGTTAAAGTAGCTATTAAAGAGTATTTTAAATATTGATTCTATTAAAATTAAGCATTTGGAGAACCCTTGTTTTTTTTTTTACTTTTTGTTATCAACTTATTATTTGCCTGACTAATTCGTTTGCAGCGCCACCTATCGGTATTCTGTCAGTGATACTAAGTTTTCAGGCATTCTGAAGTGACCCGGATCCGTAGCCTAGGAAACGGGTGTAGCTACAGACAACAACACAGATTAACGTGTTACATAAAATTGCTAGAAATCCTATAGAGATTGGATTGTATTCGTTAAATTTTAGCAAAATTATAATATTTATTCATATTAAAGTGTTCATATTTCACATTTAAGTAAATAGAAGTTTGACAGCTTATTGTGGTTCGCGGATTGTCCTTAATTTAACGTTAAAATCCTGAGAGAAAATAAGGTAAAGTACTTGTGAGATATGAAATAGAACGTAGATAATGGTAGAACAGAGGAGTATTTAGCTAGACAGGCGGGACACGTCCTACTTGTTCCCCCTGCGCCCTTCAATTGTGTCCCAAATTGTATATCACCTTTATCAGCCGTGAGCGGGAGGGTCGACCGGGACAACGGTGCCTGACACCGTCGTCTCTCACGCCCGGGCATTTACCTTGCCATGTTTCATATTGAATCAAGTAAGGTCTCTAAAAATGGTATAATGTGAACAAAATATTGTATGTAATACATTTTTTTGTTTCTCTAAATAAATCAGCATTTGAAGAAATCCCATGTTAATGTTTATACAATTTATATTAATCTGTTACGTATTAACTGACAAATTGCCACTTAACATTAACACAGTTGTAAATGACAATGTAAAATAACTCAAAGTTAGTTCTAAGTTAGTATTATGAAAAAGAAGGCACAATAACAAACACCAAATGTGAAGTAATAGCAAATGAGCAAAACAGTTATCAGTAACACTAGGGTAATGTTCAACAAAGCATATTGCACACTAAGAGCAGGTGCGCTCGGTGGAGCGAGACACCACCTGCCCTCCCCTCCTCCACGCTCCCACATCACGGCACCACTCACCTCAGTCCACAGCAAAATTAAAAGGCGAAACTACAGACAGAGATACACAACAACCTGTATCATAGTAACCGTTTGATCAATATATCAGTCAGTATTTAGCCGTGGAAGTATAATGAGCTCCCATAGTGAATCAGTTTATCTTGTTAAAGCTTAAATTATTGGCAATGACCGAGATGGCGTTTGAAAATGTGTTTTATTTAGAAAGTGAGTGCCTGTATATAAACTGTGTTGGGAGCGGAGCAGGGATTCGGAGGGATGAGGTGTTGCCGGGATACCCTCCCTAGATACTCTCCACGGCCCGACCTCAGCACAGATCAATAACATCTCTACAATCTGGGATAGTGTTATGCAATTATAACATTCAGTTTATATTATTTTAATTAATATTTAAATATTACATCTCTTTTTGTTTTAATTTAGTTATTAATGTTCTAAATTTTGTTATTTCAATTGTTCAAAATCATAACATTAAAATACATACAAAATATGTAACCAGGAAAATGTTAGTTTCAAATATGATATCTATTCTTCATCTGTTATAATTTTTTGTGGCTTACTTGATTTTAATGTAATTTAATGTTTTACTTGATTCTGTTCTTTGAAAATTACATTTTAAGTGGAATAAAGTACAACTCAACTTTATGAAGCAAAGTAATTAACAATAACTAAATTTAGGTATTTAAATCAATTTGTTAATTTATAGCTACCTTTTTTAAAATATAACTTCAATTAACATGATGCCTTATCTTAAACTTGTGCTAAATTTTAACTTAGCTTTTGGTGCAGATAAGTGATAACTTAATTTAATGTATATTTTATTTAATGTAATATGTATATTTAATGTAATATGTAATCTATCAACCATATGTTTTTATTTTTATTCTTTATTTCAAACAAAAATATCGTTTTTTTACTTATATTTAAAGACTTTTAACATCATTATAAATTGTTATCTTAACGCCAGACCATTTGTGCAAGAGTTGTAATAGAAGTGAGAACGTATTTAGGCGCGGATCAGAAATTTGATTTATGGAAGTGGTTTTTTTAATATAAAAATGTGGTTACGTAAAATCAAAGAAGCACTTAATTCCGATAGAGTTACGTCGTAGTACGATGAAGTTAAGATTTTAACTTAAATATTAACTTAATATGAGTTTGAATGTGTGTATTTGTTATTTTCAGACTTCGAGTGCGCGGGCGACGAGGTGCTGGTGGAGTCGTCGCCGCCCGCCTCGCCAATCATGGCGGCGCGTCTAGCGGCACCGGCGCAGGTCTGTTCATACATATACGCACATATGCACACATATCCTTAGGTGAGCTGGACAGATATAGAAGAAGTACTCCGCAAGTCTGATATACGTGCACAAGCTTTACAGTACCTCTTATTACTGTCAATGTATCAATGTACAAGTAAAATCTGATATTGGTGATGTTATTTTGTCTCCTATTTTTGTAACAGTGCTTGAAATATTTTAAAGCAAGTATCAACGTTGTAGGGCGGCGGCCCAGGGACCGGGGAGGGCTCGCCGACGGCGGTCCGCGACCTCATCGTCATACCGGAGATGCCCAACTCCATGCACTTGCAGCACGCAATGCAGCAGGTATAAGTCTTTTGAAATATCTTGGCGGTTCAAGGTCAACGGCGCACTGCGCAATTCACTCTCCTTGCGTGTCTGTACACTACAACGAAAATTGTGTTCTGCGACTTTATAGCAAGAGATGGAGTTAGACTTACCATTTGACTAATTTCACGAACTAATGAGACATTAATAAATAACCTAACCAGTCAAACGAATCTTAAATTCTACGGGTCCTAAGCTTCGTAAAAAGTTGCCGAGTGGATCTAAATGACTACCAACCCAGGTTTAGTATACGACGTAATGTCGGCAGGTGTCGAGTACTGTGGTGGAGATAAACGGCGACAGCTCGGGCCACTCCAGCCCCGCCGCAGAGCCGCAGCACACCTACATCACTGTAGCCAGTGAGTACTCGCCACAATGTACTGCATGATACCTCTACGGATACTTGTTCATAGTGCAATGTTTTCATTTTGCAAATTATGTCATATTTGTTAGCTTATTTGATCCAACCTCTAAGAACGCTTGACTTATTGGACATCAATCGATTCTAGAAACATCAGTAGTACTATTTTGCAAATGTCCATCTATCGCAATCCAAATTTCTTGTCAGTCTTTTTTTAACAACATATCCCCTACATTCTTCTCATGTATCCCATTTTGCTGCCCTGTAAAGTGTCTCCATGCAAAACTTTAAGATTGGTTTTACTTTCAGGTCTAGGATGTCAATTACCAACAATACTGTCTTTTTTCTATTTTTCATTTTGGCCAGTATCTTTTTGATTTTATCTCAATATTTAACGATTTTAAAAACTTTATTAGCCAAAAAAACAAATTGTTGCTTATGTGTGCATGTATTAAATAAATTTAGTAGTCTATAACAACATTAACAGATCTAAGACGATGTACCATTTTTGGTGTTACGCACTAGTGGAGACGCAAAAAAAAATCAATGGATCTTAGTTCTGTTAGAAATAGTTAGAGAAGGGCAGATAAAGTTTTCGAGATAGCAGTTCTGTAGCTGTGGAGGATGGGAAGGAAAACTGGATTTGACGGTGGAGGAGATGCATAGGAAGGGGAAATATCCTCTCTATGTGCGTCTCCTTCTTCGTTGATTAAGTGTAGGCAACGCATCTGCAATTGCGGATGTATATGGGCAGCGATCGCGTCGCTTTCTCGGCGAATCCAGATGGCCGTTCGATCGTTTGCCACCTTATGATGTAAAAAAAGTTATCTGTCTCGAAGGCTTTAGCTGCCCTCAGTGTGTACGCACAGTGCACAAGTTTTTTGCACAAGTTTTATATTGTATGTTGTGGCACAGTCGACGGGGCATGGAAGAGAGATGACACTCGCCAACTCAAGGTGGAGGCACCCAGCGACGAAGAAAGCAAGTTTTGTTTTTATTTTATTTTTTATTTCATTTACTTTTTGGGGCTTTGCATGTTTGTTACATATTTTTTATTAATTGTCCACAATAATTAAATGATTAACAATTTCTGGTAAGTATGCTAATTTGAAACATTAACTTTTAACAGCTGGGTGGTTGCGGCATCGAATATTAACCAGTTTCTAACAATAAGTGTAAGATGAATGCATATTTACTCATCTAAAAGGCTTCAATGATAAAGGTTTCAGTGCCCATTTCTGTAGTTATAGAGATTTTTAAGGGTCTTTCTTAGTTTGGTATTTATCAATTGTACGTGATTCTTTTTGTTAAAAGCTTTCACTTGTTAGACTACACCTACACTACACGTGCCGAGGGAGAGTATAATCGCTCATTATAATGTCGGATAACGTTACGAACGGTGGCCCAGCAGCAGCTCCCGGGGAAGCCCCTCACTGATGTTTCAATTACAAAAATACATCGCAAAATCTCACCCCTTGACGTCTCATATCACTGATTATATCCCACCTGTTATAATGCAACACTCAACTATAAATTAAAACTTTAGCTACCGAAATAAGGTTCAAAATTAATAACGTTGTAGTGATGAAAAAAAACTTAATAATAGCAAATAATTGGTGATGCCCCATCGGATTATTCAGGTGGATGCGTTCAAATGTTGTAGTGAAGGGTGCGTAAGATATTGTGTATTGTGATATGCGATAGTCCACCTGCGCTGCTTACCTTTGATATGACGCGTGCCGGCTGGCTTATTGGACCGCTTTTACTGCTGCGTCTGTCAGCGAAAGTATATACGATTCTTGTACGTCTGTGTGCACCGCAACATCGATTATGTCTCGACTCTCGTAACATCAAATAGATATGCGAAGCGAACTAGTTGTCATGGTTGATGTAAAATTTTAATATTTGATTAAGATTTTTAATAACGATTTTTTTTATTTTTAACATTTCCCCATAGTTTTATTTTGGCCTTTGTAATGAATTATGAGTTTTTTCACTTAGTTTAGTCTTAGCATAAGATGTTAAACAAGCAAGTGGTCACCAGAATCCGCCAAAATTGCGATGTGACCGCTGCCTATAGACATCCGTTTGCAGATGCATTGCGTATTTTTCGAAAAGAGGAAGATCTGCGCTGAAATAGGATATTTCTCCTAACTACGCGTCGTCTTCAGCACGAAACCACTTTCTCTTCCTTTTCTTGTAGTATAAGGTTTGAAAAAAGAGACAAACCCGGAATTGTTTCTACTTGACTCTTGTCTTCGTGGTATAGCATCGAGCGAGCCAGCACAATCGTGTAAAACATGTTATTGCCCACTCGACCACTGTTCATATTGCTTATTATGTCTTAATCAAAATACTATATGTATATCCCAACCATCGTCTTGCTTTTCTTAGTATCACCATAATGAACAATTTTTATAGCTGTACTGATTGTTACTAAAATACGAATTTATTTTTAACAAATCAGTGGCACGTTATACTATACATATCTAAAGCGTTTTACATTTTTGAGGCAAGCACGGCCGAATTATGCTTTTCTCGATATGAAAAAGGATGTTTTCCTTCTCTACTTGAGTTTTTTTAGTTGTACTGACTTGAACTTCCTCCGACACTACTATCGAACATTTAAGCCCTCCTTGTAGCTTCATCAGAAAATATATGTATTACTAATCTCAGGTAAGTATATAAACATCAAAGGTGGGGTGGTTGTTATGTCGTGGAGTGGTGACAATGGGGGCGGGGAGGTGTCGGGGCGGGGGCGGGGGCCTGGCGGGAGGACGGCCGGCGCGAGGCGAGTTGCCCGGGAGATGTCCGTCAGTATGGAGGTGCCTCGCTACCGTTTTTGTGAGTTCCCCTGTGAGTGTCGCGCCCCCACCCTGCCTCTGGTCTGAGGAGGTCTACATCCAGCCCCGACAGCCGCCTGAAGGACACGTGAAACCTCTATCGCTATGTTGCTCGACTTATTAACCGTTAACCTAAAATTGTTCTCATTTTAAACTTTAAATTTCACTGTTACTAATCTTAATTAATCTAATTCTATTTGTTGTATAAAGAATTTCATTTTATTCGATTAAAAATAAATAGGAAAGCATTTTGTTTTAAAGGGTTCGAAGAAAAATTTATCTACTAACCTATTTGTACTAATTGAACATGAATAACATATGTAGGCTTTTTTTAAAGTTCTATATTTTATACATTACCGTTAAAATGTTTCTACTTAGTACTGTAGATATTAAAAGCTGTATCTCTAATGATCCTGGGGTTAGTCTGTCCGCGGGCTGGCACGTGATGATGTAGTTGTTGAGTGTTGATTGTAACTGGTGTGTGCTGGCTGCGCAGGCGAGGGCGGCAATGGCGTCAACTACCACGTGCAGTACATGGAGCCGCAGGAGCTGTACGCCCAGGGTCACCAGCCTCATATGTAAGATTCATATAATTTGTAACATTTTCATTATTTTGAAGTCGTATTATACAATCAAAGCAGAAATCGGTGTGGACTAAACAGCGGTTGCGTTGTGCGGTAGGGAGCAGCTGCGCACGTATCCCGTGTACGACGTGACGAGCGTGGGCAACGGGCAGACCGTGGGCCTGGACGTGGGCGGCGTGGGCGTGGGC